AAAGAAAAATGTGTGTTTTCAAAAAGAATGTATTAGTCTACTCCACTTTAGATATATAAACTAAGGTACAAATTTTTTTGCTGTTATTTATTAAAAAAGAAAAATGTGTGTTTTCAAAAAGAATGTATTACTACCTAGATGCAGCAATCAAAACCTTTCTATTTTAATATTTTCATTTTTTATTTCTAAATATGTTCTATTCCCAGATTCCTATTTCTCATTGACCACTTTTAGCGGCAACATATGTAAGAAACCAACACACAAAATAGTACACCTCATTTAGTTATTTATGGCAGCCTTTATGGAAAACCAACAGAAGAACGTAATGAGAGGCTTATTAATTCCTATTATTTGTTCATTTGTTTTGGTTTTTTGAGACAGAGTCTTACCATGTAGTCTAGGCTGGCCTTGAATTTGTGGCAATCCTGCCTCAGGCTCACAAGTGCTGGGATTACAGGCATATGCCACCACATCTAGCTTCATTCTTATTTTTGATCCCAGCATAAAGTGAAAGATGCAAAGGAAGATTAAATAGTGACTAAAATCCTTAGGTTTCCCTTCAATAACCAATCCATTTGCTGAAAAAGCGGCCTATGCAAATCCATTTTATAATGTAAGTTTTTCATGTTAAATAATTAAACAGAAGAAATCCCTCTCAACTATATATCCCCATGCCCTTTTCCAGTCACTCGGTTGTAGATTTCACAAGTTAATTTGCTAAAAATAAAATGAAGTAATGTCACAGGTATTGTAAGATGGAAATTCTTAAAATTCTTCTACAATGCATTAATAAGAAAATCTTTTTGAACATATAGGGCATTTTGTTCAAATTTCCTGTGAAAAACACCAGAAGTAAGTATATTGATTCATTTAGAATATAAATTATTGAAGTGGCTGGATTTAATTTTGTGCAACACCACACAGGAGGGCCATAAAACACAGATTATTTGTTCCTAGCATTTCTAACAGCTGGCAGTGAAGATGACCAATATTAGAATTAAGATGCAAAAACACTAAATAACAGCCATTTCAACTCAGTATCACCTAAATATATACCTGTACATTACAAATTAACCAACTGATCTCTGATTTTTGCTGGGTTCTGACAAAATAATAAATGCTCTGGCAATACTCCTCACTTCTATTCCAATAGAGGCTGCTCAAACGGCAGGATGAGTATTGCGGTCCCTTGCTTGTTGGCTGGATGCTAGTCTGTAGGTAGTATCAGTGATCTGGATTCACATTAAATGTTGGTACTGACTCCTGCTGCTCTAAAATGGTCTGGGTTACAAAATTCATCACACACAGAAAGATTTTTAAGGACATGAAAATTAAGGGCCTGAAAGTACACTCTAAAATATTAATCTGGATGTAATAATAATACATATTTTAAAAAGCTAGAAGTAAGGATTTTGAATGTTTTCACTATAATGAAATTGTAAATGTTTGAGGTAACAGATGTTTTCCCTTGACAAACATATACAATCCATACATGTATTATAATGTCATATTAACATCCCATAAACAGGTATAATTTCTATGGTGTATGTATGAGTTAAAAAAATTTAGCAATATAAAAAATAAAAGAATCTCCAAATTTTGTCAACAAGCAATGTTTAAGAATCCTTTAGATTAACAAGCACTCCTACTCTAGAATATAGACACACAAAGGAAAGTAAACAAAATTCATTTATAATCTAAAACCAAGGCAAAGCCTTGCATTAAAGATCCCCCTTCTCTCCACTAATGCTATCCACATGTGTCTGACATTCACTTCTCAATAACCACTGCACAACTTGGCCATGACTTCATCAGGTTCTATATTAGCGTTTTTGGAGGCTTGATGAACAGGAAGACATGTAAACGTATTAAAGATCCAATGTCATTGGCTAGGTACACAAGCAATGACAGAACAGTAAATTGTCAGAGACAATTTACAATCGTCAAATTGTAAATTGTCAAAGACAAAACATTTTTGAATCTCTACATACACTTTACACAGATTTCCTCAAGCCTCTAACACTGGAATGGCTGTGCAAATTATTTATCAATTTGATAAGAATACTATGCAACCATTAAGACTGAAGTTATAAAGCTATATAGCATAGAAGATCTTATTTATTAAAAATTTTTTTTGAGACAAGGTCTCACTCTGTAATTCAGGATGGCCTTAAACTAGTGGTGAACCTCCTATCTCAGCCTCCTGAATGCTGGGATTACAGGTGTGTGCAACCATGCCTGGCCAAGACTTCATAATATAGCATAAAACACTTTAAATACACATTTATATCTAGCTATCACTATAGGACATTATATACACGGGGAAACTTGAACACAGCAAGACATTAGTATGTGGCATCATACTGGGCTCTTTCAATCCTCTATATGGTTTACAAAATGAATAAAAACTGGAAGGTCAAAAAATGCAATGGCTCCTGTCCCTAAAGAACTGTAAAACTATCATCAGCACTGGAGTAATCACCTCATATTTATGATCTACACTAAACACCAAAACTTGCTATATATCATCCTTTCAGGCATGCTTCTGGGCAAGGTCAGCAGGTAGAGGGGAAACAAGGTCCTGTCTATATTCTGATTAAGGGTGAGGGGTGGAATACTTCACCACATAACAAAGTGACAGAGGTATTATAAGCAAGGGCATGTTTTACTGCCATCATAAGGCATCAAATTTAGTATTACCTCTTACCAAAATGAACTACTGTGTCTAATTAAAGCCCAGAAAATTATAAAATACAAGTGTTATGTTCTGATAAGTGACAAAAAAGATTCTATCAACTTTTCCACGCATCAGAAATTACACCTCTGTACAAGTGAGAGGCATTTAGATTCAGGATATTGGGTTGTACAATTTTCTGACAGAGAATAAGGGCATCTGTTACTTATTATATGGCTGCCTTTAAACTCCACTTGGGTCAAAAGCTCAATAAGGCAACCCTGAAATTACACTAAAATTATTTGTACTTTGTCAGAAATGCAGAATTAGTTTGGAGACTACTAACATTATTATGAAACAGCCCTGAACAATTTGCTTTTTTGCAAAATTTAAAAAACTAGTCCTAAAATTCATATTGAAATGCAAAGGATGCAAAATACCCAAAACATACTACAAAATGATCCAAGTTATAGGATGTACAATACCTTATTTTATAATTTATTACAAAGTTACAGTAATCCAGATAGTGTGTTAGGACCACAGGGACTGACATATACAAATCAAAGGAATAGAAATAAGAGGCCAGAAATAAACTTTCACATTTATAGTCAACTGGGTTTTGAAAAAGGTGCTAATAAGATAAGTCAATAGGGATGGAAGAATCTTTCCAACATATGGTGGTGGGACAAGCAAAATAATACTGGCTCCCCACCTCCTACCATACATGAAATTAATTCAAAATGGACATTCACATGGAACATAGGCTACATTCAAAGTTCAATAATTATTCAATTAGATAATCAAAATCTCTAACAAATATTAGAGACATTTTAATTCAAAATGTTCCAATTTCAAAAATTACTTAGTTTCTATTTTTAGTAAACAAATTGTTTAATGACTTAAAATAACATTAGACTGAGCAGAAGAATCAAATTGTGTACAATTTTAAAAACAGATTATATATGAAAGTCCTTTTCCTTGTAGGAGAGGAGACTTAGTTACTAAGTAAACTGTCATTGCTTGGTACAGCTCTTGGGGTAAGTGGTAGTTTCCCAGTTTTTTCTAAAACTAAAAATATACTCAGCAAACCTTTACTTAGCAACTGCACTCTTGGACATTTATCACAAAAAAAGCAAAAACCTATCTGCATGCAAAAGACTGTAAGCAAAACTCATAGTAACTTTAGTTGAAAGAGTAAAAATGCAATAACCCAAATGCCTTAGATGGGCCTACTGTTAAATTACGATCTTTACATGCTATGAATACTGCTCAGCAATGAAGGTAAAACAAACAAAAAACAAACAAAACAACAAAAACAAAAAAACTGATTCATCTGAGTGAATGTAAGACAACTGTGCTGAGTGAGAAAAGGCACTGTGAAAAGAAATGGTAAGAGATGGAGAGCTATGTGGCTGTCAGGGGTCAGAACGGGGCCAGTGTGGCCACAGAGGGCAGCAAGTGAGCCGTGTGTCAATGGGGTGGCTTTGTCACTTGATAGAGGCAGTTACATGGAACTAGGGAATATGGGATACCCCTATACAGAAACACAAAAGGACTGCATGTGAAACTGGTAAAATCTATGTAAGCTCTTATGTCAGTTTCTTAGTGTTGATACTATATAATAGCTATGCAAGTGGTCAACACTGAGGGAAAATGAAAGGTAGATAGGACTCCCCCCTACCATGTATTTCTTTGCAAATTTTGGCGAATCTATAATTATTTCATGTTTAAAAAGTATGCTGGCATTTTTTCAAAACAGATAATGTCGTTCTGTGGAGGTATGAAAGTTATATTCTCATCACTTGCTTGTGGCATGATAGATGGCTATAATTCCCTGTAGAAAATGATTTTACAGCATATATAGACAGCTATACATATTTGGTGTCCTTTTACCTAGCCATTTAATTCTTTGGAATCATCTAAAGAAACAGTATCAAATATGGAAAGACACAGGTGTGTGCAAGCATGCGCATACACACACACATACACACAGGTTACTACAGTGCAAATGAGAATAGGATAAACCTGGACACAATTTAGATGTCTGAATAGGAATAGCTTTGTCAAATCCAGTGATAGAACATTTGCATCCACTGACAATGCCAACAATGGTACGACAATATGACAGAAAATATACATTATCAAAAATAAAATAAAATTTGTGTTAAATCCTATTTGTCTCTACCTACAATATGCAATGAAAATACAGAAAAACCATGAAAATAAAAAGATAATTTTGTTAGTGTCCAACAATTATGAGTATTTTTTTCAAACCTTACAAAGTTATTGGATTATTTTACAGCTAAAGAAATTCGCATACTATTACCTTATCGCAGAAATCAACCAAGGCTGTAAAGTCCCATTTCTTAGAATATGCCACATTGTATTTCAGAATAGCATCCTATGGAAGAAGCAGAAGCAAAATCTCATGGTACAGTCATGTGAATTATCTATGAATAGCCTGTTTCTATTATGAACTACTTCCAGTAAATTTCTTACTGCTGGACAAGTTTCCTTTTACCATTAGCTACCCCAAATCAGTAGCTACAGACAAATAAAATGCATACTAATTTATAATTCACTTAAGAAAACTGAGATTGGAAAGGCCAAATAATAGTGAAAAACCATGAATACCTTAAAGCATGCAATCTAAATGGGGTGATGTATTCAAAGTTGACAAAATTGGCTCTTGGGGGATGAAAACTAAGAGATCACAATAATTCATGGACATGAAAAGGGTTATTACCAACATGCTCACGCAGAGAAACATGTTTTATTTGTAGAACTCAAATTTTGTGTGTGTGTAAGTGAGGAGGAGATTAGAGATAAATGTTTAAAAAGGCTCCTGGAGTGGAGGGTAATGAAAAAAAAAATTAAGAAATACTGCTTTCAAGTATAAAGTGATCTTTACCCCTTATTATCAGCTACTTTTACAAGCTCTGTATAACTGGTTATCTTTCTCAGCAGTTCACACAAATTATGCATTTACACAGAATGAAAAGTCAAAATATTATGCCATCTACTGGTGTAGCTTTCAACTGTCTGAACAGCCAATACTATATACTGGGTTTCCAGAGTTAGGCAATCCCTTCATTGTGCAGGAAGAAATATTTATAATTACATCTTATCTCATCCATTTAAACATCTATTTTGATTTTATTATATATAACATTAATAAAGTAACAATATATAGAATGCATAAATATATTAGTAATTAAAACTTTTTAAACTGAAACACACAAGTCTGAAAATCACTGAAGTACTACAATAAACCTTTCAAATTTTTTTCATTAAGGAAGTTTTTAAAAAGTTCACATTCTGCCAGCTTCCTGAAAAACACTCATGCCAAACAAAGCACCAAGCACCTAGGTTAAAACTCAACTCCACAAAATTTATCTTATTCACTTGCAACCAAGGGATATCAAACTTCCTTCAGAAAAAATAACATTAACTATAAAATAACAAGGCACAAAAAAGCTTTTCTTTTTCACTCACAAGCCATAAAATAAAACTTCTGTTATGAATTAAAAGATTTTAAGGATTTTTTCCTAATTACTGGTATCTGATTTCAAAACTTTATCAAGTAATAAATAATAAAACTATAACAAATAGCAATGTGCATAAGCAGATGAATAGATATGCAATGCACATATTGGAGCAAGCTGCTGATATACTCATGACATATGTGAGTCTCAAAAATCTTCATTCTGAATGAAAGAAGCCAGACATGACAGCACACGGACAGAGACTTCATTAATGTGAACTGTAAACTAACCTATTGTGAAAGACAGCAGATAAGTTACTGAAGCCAGAGCAGAACCTGAAATTGACTACAAACAGGTGACAGGAATCTTTGAGGGTGACATAAATGTTCTCTGTCTTGATTGTGATGGGAGGCTTTACCAATAGATCCAAACATCAAAATTGATCAAATTACATATTGTGAAAGCATGTACTTTTTAATAAATTATTCCTCAAAGTTGATGAAGAAAAACACTTGAAATAGCATTTGCACACTAGTCCTTAATGGCAATTTATACTTAGCATTAATCCCTAATACAGCTATCCCACTCTATAGCAAAGGATGGGTTCAAACTCACCCCTTACCCCAAGGATATCAAAACCTGATGCTGCTCAATTCCCTGATGTAAGACAGGAAAGCATTTGTGTATGTACATCTGCTCATGTAGTTTGAATTCCTTTAGATTACTTATAATCCCCTCCAAAAGTTGTGAATCAGTCTTGGTTGAATCTAAAGATGAGGAACCTGCAATTATAGAGGACTGACTGACTATATTTATCTGTACTTCAGTCTTCAAATCTCAAAAGTAGTCCATCGTGAGGTCTACCATTAGAAAAAAAAAGGATGCTCCTTTGTATTCTTAGCTACCAACTGAATATTCTTTTTAGTTCATAATGCAAAATGAATGCAAAAAAGTGCTTTTATATAAATTATCAAACACATTATTTACAGAAATACTAATTCTGAGAACACTGTTCCTGTTTTAAACTTTGAATCTCTTGGATCCCTCTAAATTTAACATCAATTGGCATAAAAACAGGAAAAAAGATCATTATATTCAATCAGTCAGAGAGATTTAATGTTTTTCCCCTTCTCTCACAGCGCTCCTCAAGCAAAGGAGACAATTACCATAAGGAGATAGAAGAAAATTTGGATGGATTATTCTGTTTAGTTGTATCTGCCATAAAATAAGAAGAGGAATTCGTTTTAAAGCAATTACTGCTTCCTAAAGTAATCATGGTGTACTAAGGCACTGCTAGACATGAGCAGACTGCTTGAAGAAAAATATGAATAATTTAAAAAGCAGCCAGTTTAGAAGACCATAAGACTGTTTCTCAAATGGATCTACATAATATTCTTGCCTGAACTGCTTCTGTGTTTGTGAATATATAGTTTGGTGAATCTATAATTATTTCATGTTAAAAAAGTATGCTGCTCAATGTTTCCAAAGGAAACACTGTAGGAATGATGACTGATACTTTATGCAGATAAAAATGGTGCAAATATTAAGCCATCCTAGGATACATCACAGTACAGGTATGCTAATTTCTAAAGAACCTGCATCAAAGTGGTCACTACAATATTTACTGGCAAGCTGATGATCTCCATAAAGATCCCATTTATGCAGATACCAACTGGTCATGATTATAAAAGGACTAAATACAAATTAAATAGCTTTTATTTATATGGTATTTTTTCTCTCTCTTCTCTTCTCTTTTCTTTTCTTTTGTGTGATGGAGATTGAACTGAGGGCTTTGTGCTCTATTAACAAGGACTCTCACTAAATTATATCCTCCACCCCTTCATAATAGTATTTAAAAATTTTTTTTCCTACATACCATTCTAGGGGTTAGGTCAGTAGTTTAAAAAAAACTATACAAAAAAAGGAATACTGATTATAAATTTTCATTCTCATCATAAACAAATCAAATGATGTTCCATCATGCTTAAAAACAGAAAAATATCAAATTAATAAAGCTGCATAAATACCATAAGCCTAAGGAATTTATGTTTAGTTTTATGTCTGTACACATAAAACTAACATTACATTAAAAATAAGTAAGCTCTAGTAGGCCTTGATAATTTTTTCCATTTGGAAAAGAAATATTTATAATGAAAAACCTTTAAAAATACATTATTGTACAACCCATTAACATTTTTCATATAAAAAAAGGGGAAAAAATCAGGATCTACTGAACAGTATAGAAAGTATAAAAATAACTTCCAAGTATAAGTGGGAAAAATGATAAAACCAGAGAAAATATCCATAACAAATTAAACCACTGAAAGAAAATAAAACCCATTTTCATGAAAAATATAGAAAATTATGCCACTGTTTATAGTTTTATGTTAAAAATCTCTATAGTTATAATATTCTCCCCTAAAAAAATATATCTACTCATACATATTTTATGTATCAGGAAAACAATCAGTTGCCCTTATGGTTTTATATGAAATACAAAAAAAGTAAAAATAAATGACTGCCAATATATATTAAGATTAATAAATTATTAAATTGCTACAAGCTATATTAAAAGCAATAAAAAACAGAATACTTAATGTATACTTTAATCATTAGCAAATTCTGCTTCCCTTTAGGCACATATAGCTAGAGTCATAATTCTTTCCTGATTTCCTTTTAAAGACATTTCAGAAGCATGATTTTTAAACAAAAAATAAGAGAAGCTTAGGCTGAAGGAAATTGGACAGGGAATCAAGAAACAGAGGTCTTATTCCTAGTTCTCCAAATTATTCTATGTGGCTCTAGGCAAGTCATTTAGTACTCTCAATTCTTCTACTCATTTCCTAGTGTTGGGGTGAAAATTAAGAATGTCAGAATGTCTCTACAAAGCCTTCTTTTCTTTTTTCCTTCCTTCTTTCCTTCCTTCCTTCCACCTATCCATACATGGATCCATACATCCATCTATTGGTAAATCAATCCATCCATACATCCATCCATATATCCACCTATCCATCCATACATCCATCTTCTGTGGTACTGGGGATTGAAAACCCAGGGCCTTCAAACTGAACTACATCCTCAAACCTTTTTTATTTTTATTTTGGGACTAGGTCTCATTAAGTTGCTAAGTTGCCCAGGTTGAGCTCAAACTTGCCATCCTGCTGCCTCAGTCTTCTGAAGTATTTAAGGAGCCTTTCTAGTGCCAGGAAGAAGCACTTTGCACATAAAGAATGCTGTTGCTTGAGTCTATGATCAGAAAAATGTCTCCGAATGACAAAATAGAAGGCCCAACTCCAGGAGTTATACATAAGAGACAAGAATAGAAAAAAAACAACATACCTTTAGGTTTTGGGGTCGAGTGAATTTGTTGAGAAGGGCAGTCTGAATAAGCTCCCACCGGCTCCCTGCAGTTCGTTCACCATTCTAATAGGAAAGAAAGAAAAATATAATCAAGCCATTCTAAATTACTGTGTATCACAGAATCAAAAGTCAAAAAGAGTACTACTACACCATGTTTCAGGGACTAAAAGAACTTGTTTTGTTCTCACCTCATCTTCTACAGGGTACAAGTTTTGTTCAGAGCAAGGCATTTTGACATGTTTGTTATCCCATAGGTCTTTGTAATGTGTAGGAAAAGGCTTAGGAACTTCTCCTGCTCGCAAAAGATCTACCTGAAATAGAGGGTAAACAGGAAAATTGTAAGTGCATAAAAACTATGTGTTTCTTCTATAAAATAATCTGAAGAAAGGAACCAGAGTAAATACTGTAAAATGGAGGCCGGCTCTCAGCAAGGCACTCAGAAGTCTTCTTTAGCTGTTGCTACTCCTCACATCCTCTCTATCAGTTTCCAAGTCACCATGTCCTGTGCATTTCCATCCTTCTAGGTGCTGGGCCCTCACACTCCGTACCTGAGTTTCTGCTGACAACCTACCTGTCTCCCTAAGTCCAGATGTTGCCAGACACAGTCATTGCCCATAAAACCTTTATCCCCATTTTGGAGATAATTATCTCTTAAAAAGTATTCCTAGTCCTGTCATTCTGTAATGCCTATAATCTGATTCCTAATGTCATTCTGTCTTGCATATGCCTTAATCATTTTATTTTTCTCACTGGAACAAAATACCTTACACTCAAATCTTTTATTTTGGCTCAGGATTTTATTGCATGATTGTCAGGCTCCAAGACAGGGCATGGCAGAAGGGCAGAATGAAGGAATGCCACTTACTTACATTATGGGTCTCAGGAAGCAGAGAACACAGGAAGGAGCCTGGAAAGGACATGTACCCTTCCAGGTCACACCACAGTTACCCACTTTCAACCTGCCTCACCCAATAGCAAGCCAGCTATAGCAACCCTGTAATCCAATCACCTTCCAACACATGAGATATGTGGGGATGTTTACATATAAACCGTAACACAGTCTTACTCAAACTATTTACTTCAGACAAGCCAACAATATGTTTATTTCCATAAACACAGCAAATTTACTTTCATATATGTTTATGTATATACTACCAGCTTTTTCTTTTTAATCCAAGTAATACCAATTACCACCTCCCCACTTAATCTGCTTGAACCTCTGCTCTCACTTTAAGAGCCAAGCTCTATTTTCAGTTTCACTATGAAGTCTTTTAGAAGCTTATATACAGGTATTTTATTAAATCACTATCATAACAGAGCACATTTGTTTTTTATTCCCTCATGAGATGCAATTTTCTTGACAGTAATAAGCACATTTTTGAATCACAATACTATATTTAAGGCATCTGAAATATATTTACATAGTTATACACATATGCATGGGTAAATATACACATATATGTAAACATATGAATAGTTACTATTTAGTCATTAAGTAAATGTTTGAGGAGATATTCTGAACAATAAAAAAGTTTTATTTTGCCTATTCCAAATATTTCATGCAAATGGAACCATACAATTTATGGCTTTTGTGTGCAGCCCATTCACTTCACATAGTATTTCTGAGGTTCATCCATGAGGGAGCATATATTGGCATTTCACTGCAGGGAATCAAATAACTACATGAATATAAAAATTGCAGTATGCTATAAATGAGAAGTTCACGGTGTTATAAGAATCTATTCTACATAGATTTAACTTAGCTAGTGAGTAAGAGAGGGCTTCCCTGAGAAAGCAACAATTGACCTGAACTCTAACTGGTAAAAATAAGCAAACTAGGAAAAGTAGGAAAGAAGATTCTTGTTGCTGTAATTTGGATTTCGAGCATCCTATCCCCAAGATTTCATGTGTTAAAGGGTTGATCTTCTCTCAGGTGCTTCTGGGAGGCAATGAAATCTAAAGGGGTTAGGGCCTAGGTCACTGGGGATGTGCCCCTAAATGGGATATTGGGGCAATGGATTCTTCCTCTCTCATTTCTGGGCCATCATGAGGTGAACAGACCTCCTCAACTGCGTGCTTCTGTCATGATGTACTGTGCTGCCACAGACACAGCAATGGGCCAAGCAATCTCAGAATAAAACCTCTGAAACCATGAGCCAAAATAAATGTTCCTCCTGGGAAGCTAATTATCTCAGGTATTTTATCACAGCGATAGCTAACTAAAAGAAAAACTGGTGATAAGTAGAGTCGCTTGTTATCATTACACATGATGACGTGGTTCACAAGCCTTCAGAATTGCTTTGTAGGACTCTGGAAAAGTGTGCAGAAGCAGGCTACAGAATGTCTACAGCTTAATGGGTGATTTTGGTGAGGCTGGAGACTATAAAGCTGACAGGAATATGGACAGCAAGGCTGTGCTAATGAAGTATCAGATGGAAATAAGGATACTGCTGAGAACTGGACTAGAGGCCACTCATGTTACATTCTGACCAAGAACAGAGCTACATTTTTCTCTATGCTCTGAGACTTTCTGTGAAGCTGAGATTAAAGATGATGGACTAGATTTTCCCGTGGAGGAAATTTAAAGTAGCACAGCATTCAGGCAGTGGCATGTGTACTGGTGGGTGCTTCAGGTCAGCTTTACAATGAAAACTGGAAGCAAAATGGAGTAGAAACATGAAAAACTTGCAGTTTGGCTGGAAAAGTGCCCATAAAGTTATGGCCAAGGAGAGTACAATTACTGAAGAGACCACTACTAGTAAAAACAAGCCAAGTACTTTGTACCTGGACAATAGAAAAGATGCCTTATGGGCCTTTCAGGAATTGGCAAGACTTTACCTAAGGCCTCAGCCATCACAGGTTCAGTGGTATAAAATTAGTAGAAATTTGTTTTAAGGACTTTTTAGACCAAGTCTTTTGAAATGAGAGCTCCAGGGTGCCCTCCTCTAACTTTGAGCCACTTAGGGAATTATTTCCCTGGGATGAACTTCTCAGTGTTACACCATTAAAGCTCTGACAGGTCACTGCTGCCACTGTTCAAAAAGTGAAGAGCTCATAGAGGCTTCTGCCATGATTTCAAAGGAAAGCCTAGGAGACAAGACAGTACATAGCAGGGTCAAAGTCCCTTCAAGCTTCTCTTGACCAGTAATATGTTCACCTATGAGGGTGAAGTCAAAGCTGCACGTGAAGATTCCAGGAAGTTAGAGATCCCAGAAGTGAACTACCTACCTGTATATTGAGATAGGCTCTTACTATGCATGCCAGGCTGGTCTTGAACTCTTGTACTCAAGCAATTCTCCAGCCTGAGCCTCTTGAGTAGGTGGGACTACTGGTGCATGCCACTGTGCCTGGCCTAAACTGCTGGTTTTATTTTGAAGGAAACTCTCCTGTTAAACAGCAATGGCCAAGAGTGATGCCCTCTGTTGATATGGACCCAAATTCACATTTCAAGTGTTTTCTTTCACCATCCCCACCTAAATTCTAAGCTCTCGCAAACCAACTGTTTTTCATTTCTAAAACAAACTGTTTTTAACTACCTAACAGTTTCTTTCCAGCTTATATATCTGCCTTAAATTCTCTTGTCTTACTCCTGAGTCTTTATCTGTTAGAATCTAGTTTAAACAACACAACACTAGTCAAAATCATTGCTAAACATGTTATACAGAACTCTGAAATATATATTAAATGGTCAAAAACTGAAAGCTGTCACTCTAAAATCAGGAGTAAGACAAAGATGCCCACTATCATGTCTTCAGTTCAATACAGTTCTGAAAACATTAGCCAGAGCAATTAGACAAGTGAAAGAAATAAAAGTAAAGATAGGAAAGGGAGAAGTTAAATAATCATTATTTGCTAATAACATATACTTTACACAGAAGACCCCCCCCAAACTCCTACATATAATAACTAAATTCAGCAGTGTAGCAGGATACAAAGTCAACACTCAAAAAATCAACAGAATAGTCAATGAGAAAGAAATTAGGGAAATAATACCTTTCACAATAGCATCAAGAAAAATAAAATATTTAGGAATCAATCTAACAAAGGAAGTGAAAGACCTTTACATTGAAAAGTACGGTATTCTGAAAATAAGAGATTGAAGAGGATATCAGAAAATAGAGAAATACCTTTATTCTTGTTCTTGAGTAGGCAGAACCAATATAATGAAAATGGCTATACTCTCAAATCTGTTACACAGATTTAATGCAATCCTGATCAAAATAACAACAGCATACCTCACAGAACTAGAGAAAATAATCCTAAAATTCAAATGGAATCAGAAGAGATCTAAAAAAGCAAAAGCAATTCTGAGCAATAAGTACAAGGCAGGGGGCATCAAAATCCCTGATTTGAAATTACACTATAAGCTACTGTGATAAAAACAGCATGATATGGGAAAAAAACCAAACCAAAACAAGAACAACCAAACTTGAAGATCAATGGAACAGAGTAGAAGATGCACAAACAATTTCAGGCAGTCAGCTACCTTACCATTTACAAGAGGGCCAGACACCTTCACTGGAAGAAAGATAGCCTCTTTAATGAGTAGTGCTAGGAAAACTAGCTTTTCACATGCCAATGACTAAAACTAGAACCATATCTGTCATTGCGCACTAAACTAAAACTAAAATGGATCAGACATCTATTAATATTAAAACAGAAACACTTACTTTGCCCAAAGATAGAGCAGGTAAAACTCTTGGTAGATATAAATGTAGGCAAAGAATTTATACACAAAACCCTAATCTCACATGAAGTACTACAAAGAATCAACTACTGCCATCACATCAAATTAAAAACCTCTGCACAGCAAAAAAACAAACAAATGAACAAAATAAAAACGCAAGTGAAGAGACAACTCAGTGTGGAAAACAATTTTTATCACCTATTCCTCAGACAAAGGTACAATACTTAGAATATATAAAGAACTAAAAAAAATATCAGACCTTCCAAATTTAAAGACCCAATCCAAAAATGGGCATGTGAGATGAATAGACACTTCTCAGATAAAATACAAATGGTAAATCAATATAAGGCAAAAATGTTCAATATTACTGGTCATTTGTTAAATGGAAATTAAAACACTGAGATTCCATCTCATTCCAGAAAAAACGCCTGTCATCACAAAATCAACCAATAACAACTGGCAAGGCTGTGGGGAAGAAGAGTACATAGCAAGACTCCCACTGTCGGTGGGAGTATAAACTAGTACAACCACTGTGGAAATCAGTATGGCGTTTCCTCAAAAAATTAAAACTAGAGGTTCCATTTGATCCAGCTATTCCCCCTCTTGGTATCTTCTTTTTTTTTTTTTTTTTTTTTTTTTTTTTTTTTTTTTTTTTTGTTTTTGCCCCGGTACCGGGAACTGAACTCACGACCTTGCGCTTGCCAGGCAGGCGCTTTTGCCACTGAGCTAAATCCCCAGCCCCTCTTGGTATCTTCTTGAAAGAGTTAAAAGCATCATACCACAGTGAGACATGCATTCCCATGTATATAGCAGCACAATTTATAACAGGTAAATCTTGGAAATAGCTGATATGCCTATCAATGGACAAAGAAAATGTATTTATATACAATGGAGTACTACTCTGTCAAAGAGGATAAAGCTGAGAAACTTTAGGTAAATGTATACCCCTCAAGACTATAATTTAAAGGTGAAATAAATCAAAGTATTACATTGTTTATCTTGTGTGTGAAACCCCAAGAGTAAGTAAGGAGCAACATATAGGACAGATACTGGAAAACAGGAAGAACATGTTCAAATGGGAGGAGGAACAACGAAAAGGGGAAGGGAAAGAAGGAAAAAGGGATTAACAAAAGGGAACGGAAGGAAAAAAATCTAAACCAAGCTTTTGTAAATGGGAAGGGGATGCAGGGTTGAAAGAAAGGGAAGGCAACAGGAAAAAAAGAATTAAGATATATGATATACAGTACAAATTTCCTATGATGAATGTCATCATTATGGTAAAGATGTTCTAATAAAATAATTCTGAATTTCAGGATATTTGATTATATCTAAACTAATCTCTACTATAAAAGGCATCATACATTAATTTTTTAAAGTAGTCTGTGAAATATATAGAGACTACAAATGAGATGAATATTTAAACCTACCCAGTGTGTGATGGAAACCTTCTGAAGCTGGGCTATGTTAATAATTACACAGGTTTTAAATATCACCAAACTAAGCACTCACAATAAATGCACTTTATATATCTCAGTAAAATTTGTTCAGAGAAAAGCAAGACCTTATATGAAAGCAATTACTCAGGACATGGGCAAGGACTAAGGTGCTACTGTGTAACAGATATAGGGCTTCCATTTGGAAAGATAAAAATGCTTTGGAAATGGACAGTGGGTGATTGTTGTACAACACTGTGAATGTACTTCATGTTGCTGAATTGTATGCTTAAAATGGTAAATTTTATGCTGCATATATTTCATCACAAAATTTTCAAATGCAAGGTAAGTTTAAGACATGTTAAGTTTGGCCAGGTGTGGTGGTGGATGCCTGTATCCCCAGCACTGGGGAGACTGAGACAGGACAGCTGTGAGTTCAAGGCCAGCCTGGAGTACATAGCAAGACTCTGTCTCAAAAAAAAAGACAGACAGATGGACACATTGAGTTTGAGATACCTGTGAGGTACTGATATAGATGAATAGAAGAATCTGAAGCTCAGAAAAATAGGCAAAACTGGAAAATGTACTGAACCACACAGAATTTTGTGCCTGCATGACTAACCTAATAGCTAACATGTAGCATGTATTCAATAAATATTGCCAACTGATTTTTTTTCTTTTTTACTTTTGGTACTGGGGACTAGACCTAAAGCCTTTGCACTGAGTTACATCTCCATCCCTATTTGTAAAAATGTTTTCTTTTAAATTTTTGAGATCAGGTCTTGCCAAGTCAGTAAGTTTCCCAAGCTAGGACTGAACTTGTGATCTTTCTGCATCAGCCTCCCAGAGTGCTGGGATTAGATGTGTACTACCACTCCAGTTTGTCAAATGAATTTAAGGAGGGGAAAAGAAAGTACCCAATGAGGTTTCTTAAAAATACTGAAAAGTTTGATTTCATCATTAGCTGACAATGATTCATCTTGCTGATTTGTTAAAGGCCAACTTAAGTAAGCAATGATTTATCTCTCTGTGCTGCACACTTCTGAGTATTGTATATATTCAGACAAGAAAACTTGCTATGCCTCAGTCTGCTTTTCACATTAATAAATATAGTAAATCAGGATCTTCAGTCTTCTCTGCTGCTGGACAAGAGGCGATACCCACCCGAATAGTCACTGTGTGATTGGCAGACGGTCTCAAAAGAGGCAGCCGGCTCCCACACCGAGGCATCCTTTGCATCTCCTCAAGGGGAGTTCCCAGCCACTTCTTATCTGGAGAAAGGTGAGGTGGAACGTATTTAGGCATCTTCCTTTCTGTTCTTTGATGTCTGATTTCACTTTGTTCTTTTCTAAGGTCAAGACAAATGCACTCAGTCACAAATTTATTGCTTCAGTTCCCTTGGACACACAAGTACAAAACTTACCAGAATGTTCCTGTTTAAAGTGTGCCAAGTCTGCTCCCTCACCTCTGTTTTATATTTACAATCAACAAGAAAACTTACACAGTTTATATTAAAACCCAAGAGCTCATTTTCAGTAGTCTGTGAAGGGAATTTTGAAGCACATGTAAATGTACTGAAAACAGAAATGAGCCATGTTCATGGTTTACATCTAGATGTTCCCCAAGAGCCTCATGTGCTTGAGAGCAGTGGGAGTGGGGCAGCTTTTGGAAGATGACTGAATTATGGGTGTGCTACAGCTGACTTGCTGACCTGCTGTTAGGAAGTGGGACCTGGTTGGAGGTGGGTCACCAGGGCTATGACCCGAAGGATGCATCTCCCTCCCAGCTCCACCCCTGTCTGATCCCTAGCCTATGACGGGAACAGGCTTTCTACATTGCCATTTTCTGCATTTGAGCCTGCCACACAGACTGAAACTTATGAAATCTGAGCCAAAATAAACTCTTTCTTTATGCTATGGGTGTCAGGTACTTTGTGATAGCAATAAGGTAACTAAGACATTGTAGTTCATAGTATCACCTACTTTTCAGGTCTCAGCACTGTAATTTTGAATGAAATGAACTTAGGATCACAGGTTAGAAAAATGAGATCATAGAGATTATCAAGTAGATTACCAATTCTATATGGGTTAACAGTTAAAATAGAAGCTTTGTAATCTGATATACACTGCATTAAATCCCAGTATTGCTGGACAAGTTACATGACTTCAATGAATTTTCTAATTCAAATTTCAGTTTCATTGATAAAATGAGTACAGTACCACCTGTCTCCCTGTTAGAGAAAGTGTAATATACACTCATTTAGGAAATGGCCAACCAGTAGCCAGATGTGACTGCCAATATTTATTACTCCTTATTTTATGATTCTGGACTTTGAGAATTTAAACTTTGATGTAGAGGCTTAAATTAGCCTAAGTAGTTAATAAGAAATTAATTTATTTTATAATAAATCATAACTTTGTTAAGCCTCCTGTATAAAATTTTAAAATATAATATGCTCTCAAAGAAATACTCCTGGTAGGACAAGATTACCTTCTGTCCTCTGCTTTTGTCATTCTCATGAAGTGGTCGGTGATCTTAGAGTCCCTTTTTCCATGCTGCTTGGAATTTCTGCATTCTACATTAAGTGTAGAAGTATTCCCAGGTGGTCTGACATTTAAATCACTCACCCCAGGGCTACTCTCCCCTCCTTCAAATTGAAAATGTAATCTAATTTCACCTCCCTTAGCAGAGTACTGCTTCTTAAGTTCATTGTCAGCTTCTTTTGCTTGCAACTTGGAAGGTTTGTTGGCTACTTGGGAGGAACTTCCATCTTCCTGTTCATCAAAACCTGGACTTGTCTCCTCATCTGCTTCTGAATCTTGACAACTATTTTTGGAATTATCTACATCCATTGGTGACTCAGGTTCACTTTCCTTCTCAAATGGAGAATTTCCTAGGCTACTTTCTTGTCTACTTAATTTGTCGTCATTTTTTGGTTCAGTTCCAACATCCTCAGAGCCAACATCTGACAATGGACTCTCTGGTACCACATCTGTCTCCTCCTGCTGACAACCTGTACAGTCGTCCCCAGGGTAACAGGATGTGCAGTCCTTCTGGTGGCTTCTGGCTTCTCTGGCCTGTTCACTTGTCGTCTGTTTTGCATTCACAAGCTTTATGGGTGTCAGGAATTGTTGATTATCTCTGCTTTCTTCACCATCTGTGTCACTGTGACCACCAGTGTGGGAGCATTGCTCAATGTTAGCATTAGTGAACTGCTCTGGCATCAAAGTCACTGTTGCAGGTTCACTTTCCAAAAGCTGTTCTGTATTTTTCTCTTCTTTCTGCCACTTACACATCACTGTAGTCTGATGCTGGTTCAAATACTGTGTCCTTTTCTCAACAGGTGATTTATCAAGACTTAGTTGAGAAACACTTTCTAATTTTTCCACATTACGTTGGTAAAAGTTATCTTTCTGTACAGAACTCATCATGGATTCTATTCTTGTATTATTGTTTTGTTTACTATGCAAACTGCAAGAGAACAGAAAAAACTAAGACCAACTTATATAAAATGTCACTTAATCGATGACACCTCCACAAGTACCACAGCAATAACTGTACTCCCTGTTGTTACCTGAGCACACAACATGTTCTTCCCTATTCTTTGTATTTACACATGACCTTCCCCAGCTGTGCCTGGAAATCACCTGCTTTTCCTTCAAATCTAAAAGTTTACTCACTTCCTTATAGTCTTTCTTGGAATTCATCTTTTTGTTCTTCTGTATGCTAACCACCAGTCATACCTTTAATACCTCATCCCTTTACTGTAGCATTTATCATGCCAGGCAGAAATTATATGTCTTTTTGTGTTTAAGCACTATTACACTGCAAGTAGCTTAAAGCCAGTGCTATTTCTCTTTCATCTCTGTGTCTGAAGCAGGATCGTTACACATAGGAGATTCTAAAAAAGTATTTAAATTGAAAATGAACAAATGTAGATGAAGAAAAATTAGCAAGAAGAAATACAGAAAATACCCCAAAGCAAGATAAAAGCAACCCCTCATTAGGTTATTCACTTCTTTCTATATGCATGTCTCTATACCTTTCTGATTCGGTTGTCTTGATCTCCTTAGTGTCCATCCAACTGGTAATAGTCTTTTGCTTGAAAACTGTAAAAAAATTAATTAATTGATGTATGTACATAACGTTCACTCTTTCAACTAGAAAACACAGCATGTTATACATATGAGGGATTTTTGTAAAGTTCTGTGTAGATTAATTACCTTCAAGTACTGAGAGAAGACAAGAACAAAACTACTAAAATGAATGGAATCAGAACAACCAGGACATCTAGCTTGAAATCCATAGTTTTTGTTTTGTTTTTTTAAAAACAGGGTCTCACTACATAGTTCAGGCTGCCCTTGAACTCACTAGGGACCCCAGAGTGGCCTGGAACTTGCAGTGATCTTTCTGCCTCAGGTTCCAGAGTGCTGGGATTATAGGGGTGTGCTACTATACCTGGCCAAATCCATAGCTTCTTATGTGACTTTGAGAAGGGTCATTTCTATTTGTTAAGAGATTCTGTATCTGAACACATGCAAATTAACATTATCTTCCAATGGGCTAACATGAGGTTTAGAATAACTAATAATGATCTATGTAAAATGTTTAGAACTCCATCTAAAATATGCTTGGCACTGTAAATGTTATTCCTGAATTATCTTCATTATTAAAAGAGGGGCTAATAAAAAACTCAGGTATTTTTAGGCAAAACACTATTTTAGGACATAAGAGTAACTATGGAATTTTGGTAGTAAGAGTTCTTGGAAAATGGAGTGCTTAAACTGTGCTCTACAAATAAACATGTAGTCACATATAGGGAATAATCATAAACAAAAGCGCCAATGGCAGAGAAATAGAAAGAACTTTGAAAGAAGCAACTGGAAATGTAGTTGAAAAGTCAGCCAAGACTGCATTACAGAGGACCTTGAATGAAGCACAAAGAAGTACAAATCACATGTAGAGCAGTGATGCTAGAATTCAAATCTAGAAGGCTCACAACCATGGATGACAGATGGCCTGGAGCATAAATATGCAGGCAAGGAGGCAAAACCTCCAGGTAGAAGCCAATGAGGAAGTTACTTGCTGCAAACCCTCTGGGTCATCAGGAGGCTAGCAATAAATGGATCCCAGAACAAAACCCCAGACCTTCTGAATCAGAATCCATAAAGCATATGACAGGAGGTAGGTAGGAATCCATACTGGTTTCAAAAATTTATTTTCATAATCAACTAAACTGAATAGTTAAGGTCCAAAATTGATAAGACTCAGAGACTTCATGATGACAGAAGTTAAAGGTGAAACTAAGCTTTAACCTTGATAGACTTGAAAGACCAAGGTAGCATTAACTAGAAATATAGGAGAACTGGATTTATGGAAAAAAAATATTAGGTCAACTGTGCACATATAAAATTTGAGATGCCAAAGAGATAGCACCTTAAGTCAGACTCTTATCTCTGTGTGTGTCCTCAAACACCGTAATATAAGCAGAAGAATTGCAGGCTCAAACCATGAAATGAATGGTTTATCCATCACCAAGATTAGCGAAAAACATTTTAGATTCAGAGAAAATTTTATATTCCACTAGACTACTCAGGTGTCATAAAATTTGCACTTTCTATAAAAGTATTCAAGTACCATGTAACTTATACTTTCCACAGAACATGAATAGCCCAACTAGAAAAATCTTTGATTGGTATTCTTTAAATTGTTTCAATCACAACAACAAATTATAAACAACTGATATTTTTTCATTGCTAAGCACTACTAATTTAGCAATTTAATTTCTATTTCTATAGCAAATCAGGCTGCAGTGAAAAACTACCCATGGTCAGCAGGGACTAAAAGGATAAAACATTTGATTCTGAGCCTTTTTTTATAGTTCTATTTTTCCTACTTAATTTCATTCTATCAGATGAGCATTTCTGATCTGAAAATCCAAAGGGATCTAAAATCCAAAACTTTTTGAGCACTGGTATTGATGCTGGAGCATTTCACATTTCCAGATAGGGATGCCCAAGAGGTAAAGTCTATGCAAATAATCCCAAATCTGAAAAACTAGCTAGTTTAATACAAAAAATCCCCAAATCACAAACCAGCAATGTGCTCAAACACTCATTTTCTGAGTCAGCTTAGACTTTAAACACCTTTTCCAGCAAGGGCTAAAGGTCGGATGCAGTGGGTAGGTTTCTCTAATACACATGAAGCACAGCTCTCCAAAGCCAAGTCCACAGAACCTAACAATCACATGCTTGATTTCATGAACAACCATGAGATGTATTCTGTGAAGGTGAAGAAGGCTCTTTCCTGCAGCCCTGATATGAAGAACGTGTTCACTACTGGGCTGTAGGCTGCTGATTATGATCCATGAAGAGGAGGAACCAACATTTCTTGTTAATCAAACATTCTTCAGTTCTTGTTTGGGCCCCAGAAAAAAGATTGCCCTACTTCTCCTTCCAATAGCACTACTTCTGGCTTCCAAAAGTTTCTTTGGAACACATCACAGGACTCTTCCAGGGCTTTAGCCCTCTTACTCCTGTAGTAAACATAAAATGATGCTTTCCAGGCTTCTAAGGAATTTCTTAACTAGAAATAATGACAGCAAACAAAGGGAAGTAATAAGATATAATAAAAAGATATATGATGTAGTCAAACAACCCTGACATGAGACCTTTGCTTAGTGACTGGCAGCACCTTGGCCAAGTTACTTCACTTCTGTGAGCTCCTGTTTTCTCACTTAGAAAATGGCATTAACAACATGTACTTCCAAAGGTTATATACATCAGTTAAGAATATAAAAATTAGGGAAAATATTAAGTGCCTCGCTTCATAAGGCAAACACTCAACAAGTATCCCCTCTCAACACTTTTATCTGATCTTTTATCACTGAATCAGTAGTTCACTAACTTTATTCTGACTTCGCACCATTCACATTTAAGAGTCATCACTCATTAACCAGTGTATTTCAATGAGGCCACTCAGTTAGCAAACAGACACACAGGCAAAAGGCACAAAACACAGTAAAATTTACCCGCATTTCCAAGGAACACTCCACTTACACAAAAAATCATTCCCCATCAGAATGCAAATAGCATCCTGAGTTCTGCCTACATGCAAATTTCAGTCAACGTAAAAAATGTGCCCAGGAAGACAAAACAAAATTTAAAGATACTAAACATCTATTTTCCTACTCCATCCACTTTTTCTGGGATAACTATGTTTAAAAACTTTAAACACCAAGTCCTAAAAGAATTATAAAACTGAAACAATTTAGACTTTGGATGTTATGTAATTGGTGTCCTCTGCCAGGTATACAGAAAACATCACACATATGAAATGTTCATTTGGTTCCTCTTCTGCAGAAAATTCAAAACCAACTAGTGAGGAGTGACTGCCCTAATCCCTGCCAGCAAATAACTTCTTTCCATGCAAATAAAGTTAATGGGGCTACAAATTACAACTCACCAGTGTCAGATACATTACCTATAGTTCACCATCAGCTCCTGTTCCTCTAAGCCAAGTTTCCCAAAATCTACAACCTGAAGTTTAAATTCATCCTTTCCTTATATTCCTTAAGTATTTCACTTATTTATAACAAACTGTTTCCTGCTATTGTCCTTCCTGTTTAGTCTTGACTTTCTTTAACCCAGTATTTTACAAACTACAAATGGCTGGTATTTTTTCAATGAGAATAAACAGGCAACATAAGAATGTGTTGTACATAGTAACGGTACACATTATTCCATGACATACTTGTTTCAGCTATAAATATGGTCTACGTACATATTCTACTCTATATAACTGATAAAATTTATAATGTGGGTTTGTAGTCAAAACAGTTGAAAAGCTACTGCTTCAGCCATTTATAATATTAACCAAATTACACTCCCTTGTTTAAAAGCTTTTTTTTGCAGCCCCTCTCCATCAGCTGCAGAATGAAGTTTAACCACCTTAATATGGCACTGGAATTTTTTCACAAATAAGCTCACCTTACCATCCTGTCGTCCTGTTTCAATTCTACCAGCTTCCTGGTGTGCTATTCCCTCTGCTGACATAATTCTTTCTCATTTATACAGCAAATCCTGCTCATCTATCAAAACTTAGTTCAAAACTAACTTACCTAGAAAAAAAAAACAAAAAACTTAGTTCAAGTCTGTTTGCCATTACCTCTAAGATCTAAGACACCTGAAAGTACACCGTTTACCAGAGAACGGATATATCTTACGGGGCCTTTTCCACAAGCTGGACTTGCCTTATACTTTTCTGGGCTTTTCCCTTCAGTCTGCCTTTAAATGGTTTTCCTAAGGTTTCTGTCCTCCGTAACTTTTACCCTCTGTCCTATGTATTGACTTCTGCTTTTGTCGATGAGAGAGAGACTTTTGGACCTCGTGCTCAACACCCTGTAAGCCATGGACAAGTACAATGCTAGTTAGGACTAATACTTCCCCACTCTGGGACCCAGACTGTAGTTCCAACAGCTTTCTTTTCCTCTTCTACCCTTGAGGCTGGCTGCGGCGCCCTACTGCTTTACATACACCAGCAAATCTCCATGACTAAAGCACTTTACTCATCAAACCCAAGGAAAGCAAACAGGTGGGAGTCTCCTGCCACTTTCCATCATAAAGTAAATTATAAGCAATAAATATTTCTCACCCCACCAGCCGCACTGGGCAAAACGCAAGTCCCATCAGTGAGTGGCCCTGGTGGTTCAGCAGGGGGACCTCAGAGGTGTGTGCATCAAAGAACAAACAGGAATGACTGAGGCCCTTGGGTCCTCGGTACCAAGACGCAGGACAAAGGTTCTTAGTTCTCCACGTACCAAGCGAAGTGGTGCTGCCTCGGTGCGGCCCCGCCCGCCCCGGAACAAAGCCTGGAGAGGATGGCGGGACCCTGAAATGCACGGAAGCGTCCTTGGCGTCGAGGACGCGCCTCTGCCTGCCAGGGAAGCTCCGGGAGTCCGAGGCCGCCGGAGAAGCAGCAGCGGTGCCCCACCGGGGTCGTTTGGTGCAGGGCTCACAGCCGGGGCCCGCACTCATGCTGGGACCCGCAGCTCACGGTCCCCGGGCCGGCCCGGGCAGAGCGCCTCATTCACTAACCCTGAGGGGCACGGACTGCGCCTCCTTCTCGGCGCGTCCCCGCACCATTCCCTCTTTGCCACTGCCTGCCTCTGTAGTTGCTGATCCGCCGGGCTCCGACTCAGACGCTGTGCCGTAGCTGGCCTTCCTCTTCCGCAAGTAGCCGACCTGCCTCAGAACGCGCCGCTCGAAACAGGGATTCGTTCACTTTCCCACCACCGGAAAGCTGCCGTCAGGCGCTCCGACTTCCGGGTGCCCGCCGTCGCAAAGCGGAAGTGCAGTGCTTCACGGCCACCGGCGCCCGGAAGGTCAGCGTGTGAAGGAGGCAGTGGTAACGTGGGTTTCCCCGCTGCTGCTCTGGAGCAACGGCCGAGCTCAGTACCTCGGCCTGAGGCGGCGGCGGGAAGCGGACAGAATTTTGCTGTGACACCATGGAGGGCGGTGGGGGCAGTGGCAACAAAACTACGGGGGGCTTGGCCGGCTTTTTTGGAGCCGGCGGAGCTGGTTACTCACACGCAGATTTGGCCGGCGTCCCGCGTAAGTATCGGCCCTCGGGTGCGAGCCTGTTTCACGGCTTCCTGCGACTGCACCAGACGTGCGGGGTCCCGTTCTTTTTCTTGCTGGCGTTCACAAGCGTCCTCGCTAATGGTGGGGTTAATTACCTGCACAGCTGCTCTTGAAAGGTTAAAGGGGCTTGGTGGGGGGCACAGATCTTTAGGGAGCCCTTTGTGATCGACCTGGGCTCGGAAGATGATGCGTGTTTTCTTCGTTTATACCCACGCGGCCTTTCTTCGCTTTCATCACGCTTGTTCCTGTATGTTGGAAAACGTGCTTGACCTTGGATTAAGACAAGCGCAGTTGTAGAAGTAAACGTATTCCAAATAGCAAGCACAAAGATGCATATTTTGAATTCCAAAGCAGTCAGAAGGGCAAGGCACTCAGTAATAATGAGTATAGATGAGAATAGGAGTTGGGACAATCCATTTGGAGAGAACGGGAAAGTGAGATGAACTTCAAAGGTGGTTTGTAGATAGGAAGAAGGAATGCAAGTAAGAATTACAGCTGGGGAAATATGCAAGATGCCTTTAAAAATATTTTCTTTTTGAAAGTTCTTAAAATATTTTATCTCATATATTCAGGAACTCAAAGAAATCTTTTTTATATCTCTAATGTCCACGAGTGACAAAACTGAGCATGGAAAACAATTTGTGTGCGTCTTAGGACTTCTGAGTTTCGTGTCACAATGGGCACTATTTTAATGTAACAAAATACTGTTACCTTAACTTGGTTAAGACTTGAAGGTAAGCTGAGGGACCAAAGGATGACCACCGTTTGTTGAGCTGCTACACTGTGCTGAGTAATTTTCTGATGCAGTACTGCAGTAGTTTAAAAAACAAAAACAAAAAACAGTTCTGATATGAAGAATACATACTGCTGACGAACCAAGTAACATAAAAGCATTGAAGATAATGAGTGATAAAAGATGTAAAGAAAATAAAACAGGGTAATGAGATGGTGATGGGAAGAGGAGGAACTTTCTAGAATGGGTCAGGGTTGACATATAAGTCAGTAGGGCTTATTTCCTTCTCAGGTGATTCTAGTTACTACACAGAAGGTAAATTGAAGAGGCAGGAGGATTTAAGTTAGGTAGAAAGTTGTTGCTGTGAGATTTGGTGCTTGGAGTAGGATGCTAACAATACAGATGATAGATAACAGTTCAAAGTACATATTAAAAATAGAACTAGTAAGGCTTTCGTTTGATAAAATGATCAGTCATGATCAGCGCATAGATTTATAAGCAGTAGCTGAGATACATAAGATCCAAAGAGTAAATTTAAAGTTTGGGAGAATTTATTTTTCTTGATAGTTTTTCGCCTATCTTCAAAGTTAGTGGATTTGAAGTCTGGCCCTCTGAAATTCTGCATTTTCTTTTGCATTGACCTCCATCCATATAGTAAAATCAACCCTGTCAGCCTCAAATTCTGAAGGAACCATCCTGGAGTGTTTATCTACAATTAGAAACCAAATTCCAACTTCCCTTTTCCCATGAGATTAATGATTCATCTGTTTATTGTAATTCACATAATTGTTAGGCATCCTTTTAGTAATATGAAAGAACCTAACTTTATAAATGGCATGAGTTTGCTTCCTGCTTGTTTGATCTACTACCACCAACAACCATACTGGCATCGCACCTAAGCCACTAGTGCAAGACTGATTTGAGATTGAGGGACCCCAAGAAGGATTATGTAAACTGATAGATGGATAAAATGGGGAAAAAATTGCACATTCAGTGACCTGTAAGTCAGTTGCAAAGCATATGTAACAATTGAATTACCTTTATATGAAATAATTTTAAAGAATTTTGTTGCAATGTGACATTTTGTTTTTTTTTCTAGTAACTGGTATGAACCCTTTGTCTCCTTATTTAAATGTGGATCCCCGATATCTTGTGCAGGTAAGATTAAATAAGATTTGCTTAGTTGGTGCTTTATCTTACCCTGAAGAGAAGAAAAGGTCACATATTTAACAGTGACTTGAACTTTTGGAAGCATTAAATTTCCATTCGTTTCCCCCCCACCCCACCCCCACTTACAAGTCCTGGGGACTAGCTTGTGTCTTCAACTGTGTAACTCTTCAGAAGTGCTTTTTTTTTTTTTTTAAATCAGCAAGGTATTAGTGAAAACTATCCAGTGAAAATAAAATTTATTTTTAAAGCTTAGTTTACTAAACTAAATGTCAAAAGGGTACTGGGCTAAATGGCGAAGTTTAAGATTACTGATTGAATATCTCAGGAAAGCAACATTGACTTACCATCAAAAAAAATCAAAGTACTATGATATATCAATGTATAGCAAAGCAATAAAAGAAAGACTGTAGCATACAAAAAATTGCCACAGTAAGTATAGAAAAACTTTTGATTAAATCTAACACCCTTCTAGAAGACTCTCAGACTAGGAATAGAAGGGAACTTCTTTAATAAAGCAGTTTTAATAAACAGTTTTAATAACTCCTTTAATAAAGCCACAGAATATCCAAAGCTAATACTTAATGTTAGAAAGCTGGGTACGTTACCCTTAGTATCAGAAACCATACAAGTATGTCCAGTGTCTTAAATTCTGTTTTAACATTATCTAGCAGGACAGTTAGGCACAAGAGAATGAAATGGCATCCAGATTGAAAAGGAGGGAAAACAGTCTGTTTGCAAATGAAAATAGTCTGGTTATGACTATAAAAAAATCAAAGAAAAGCAAAAAAAAAAAAACTGTTAGAATAAATGAATTGAATACAAAAAATGTTAGAAGCATAAATGATTTTAGCAGTTACAGAATGCAAGACCAGTTACATAAACCAGTTGTTTCTGTATAGTAGCGGCGAACACTTAAAAAATAAAATTACAAAAACAATTGTATTACCAGAAGTATCAAAAGGAATACAATTAATAGATTAAGGTACAAAAACTTACAATCTTGAAAACTATAAAACACTGAAACAAAGACCTAAGTAAATGGAAAGACACATTCCATAATTATGAGAAATTTAGTATTTTTAATATGACAGTACTCCTGAAATTGACCTCCAGAGTCAAGCTATGTCTCAGTATCCATGGTGGGTTTTTGGTTTTTGGTTTTTGGTTTTTTTTTGGTAGAAACTGACGTGCTGATCCTAAAATACAGATGAAAATTCAAGGAATGTTGAATAACCAACAATTTTGGAAAGGGACAAATTGAAGGACATCTCAATTTTAAAACAATACAAAACTACAGTAATTAAGACATTTTGATATTAGCATAAAGGCTTAATCTGTAGATCAGTAAAATAAAATTCATAGTGGAAAAAGTTCTTACATTGTTTACAGTCAGTTTTTATCAAAGCTGTCAAGACTACAAGTAGGAGAAAAAGATTCTTCAAAAATGATGTTGGGATAATTTGAATCTTAGTGTAAAAAACTGAGGCTAGACCTCAACTTCACACCATATACAGATGTTAACTCAGATTGGATTAGACATTAAGGGCTAAAGCTGTAAAACTCAGAAAAAAAAAATCATAGACATAAATAGTTGTGATTACATGAGGCAACAGTTTCTTAGATGTACCACCTGAAGCTAAAGTAACGAAAGGAAACTTAATAAACAAACTTAATAAACATTTAATTTTGGCGTGCTAAAGGCAACATCAAGAAAGACAACACAGATTGGGAAAAATATGTGTAAATCACTTACCTGATAAGGGACTGTATGTAGAATATTTTATTTTTAGGAATTCCTGCTGGGCATAGTGGCACATGCCTGTAATCGTAGCACTGAGACTGAGGCAGGAGTATCACTAAGAATTCAAGGTCAGCCTGGGATACATAGTGTGTTCAAGACCAGCTTGAACTACAAACAAGACCCTGTCTCAAAAAAATTTATTAAATACACCAGTTACTAAATTGTAACATTTGAATAGATATTTCTCCTTGAAGACATGAAAGTATCTAGTAATCACATGAGAGTTGTTCATTCTCATTAGAGGAGTGGAAATCAAAACAGTGCAATGAAGTATCACTTTACATCTACCAGACTATGACTACAAACACAGGTGATAATAAATATTGGTAAGGATATGAAAAAATTAGGCCTTTATACATTGTTGGTGGGAAGGTAAAAGGGTACAGGTGCTTTTGGAAACAGTCTGGCAGTTTCTCAAAATGTTAAAAATAGGGTTGTGTTAAGATCTGGCAGTGCTATTAGATAACCAGGAGAATTGAAAACATGTTCATGTAATTTGTATGTGATTGTTTGTAGTGGAAATACAATAATCCAAAAGAGAAAAAAATGAAATGCCTATCAGTTGATAAATGAAAAGTAAAATGTGGCATATACGTACAGTGTCATGTCATTTGGCAGTAAAAGGAATGAATTAATGATACATGCTACAGCATGGATGAAACTTGAAAATTTGTGAAATCCGAGAAGCCAGTTATAAAAGATCATATAATGTTTGCTTTTATTTATGTGCATTGTCCAACCTAGGAAAATGTATAAACGATAGAAAATAGATTATCAGCTGCTGAGAAGTAGGAATAAATAGGGCGTAACAGGTATAGGGTTCTTTTCAGGGTGATAAAGATACCCTAAAGTTGATGGTGATCTTGGTTGTGCAAATATAAATATATTTGATAATGTCCATCAAAACTGCCTTATAAAAATTTTTCTCTTGTCCATTTCTGTATTGAAGGATAATTATTTGGTCAAATACAGTGATACCTCAGTTCATGAACTCAATTCTGTAATTCTGTTGCAAACTGAACTGGATGAGAACTGAATCCGCATAAGGTCAACATTGAATCTATCTGTTGAATTTGATTCGGTTCTCGTCCAACTAGATTTGTGACCAGCATGATGGAAAGAATCAAGTTTGTCAACTGAGGTACTACTGTAATATGCCTGAAATCCTCAAACAAGAAGCATAATTTAGAACTAAGGTATTAATTTAAAAGTCAGGAAGCACCCAAAAACTTGCAAAATTGTATACAGTGTACCGTGGCATCAGAGCTCTTCAATTTGTGTAACAGTAAGTGTCTGTTCATTTGTGCAATTTTTGGTGAGGTTGTATGCACAGACAACCCAGTGCAGGTTGGATCTGGATCGTGGTGCATGACTATAATCCTAACACCTGGGTGCAGAGGCAGGAGGATCATGAGTTCGAGGCCAGTCTGGGCTAGATAACAAGACTGTCTAAAATACAAGACAAAAATGAACAAAAATCTAGTGCAGAGCTACCTTTCCTAATCAGGAATGTATTTACCAAAGCTTTATATTTGGCATAGGAATGTGGGAGAAGTATTTTTTACTAGTTATATCTTCTGTGTTAAATGTGGCACTGTATGTATCATGTGGTATCCATTGGGAATTATTTTACAAAACTGCATAGAAAATGTTCTCCATAAAAGTGACTTTTCAAAAAAGACTTTTCAAACTTTATGATTTTTTACTGTTAAGAGTGGTAGCATTTCTTAACCTAGGATTTTGGGTTCCTTTCATTGGCTCATGCTAAATGTGTGCATGTATTTACTAAGAAGAGGGTCTGTAGTTTTCTAAGGTTCTCCAAAGAGTATATCTCAGGCAGCTATTACGGTGGAGCATTTGGGGTATAGCCCAGTGGTAGAGTGTTTGTCTAACATGTGCCAGGCCCTGAATTCCATGCCCAGCACCGCCAAGGAGAAAAAAGAATTTTTAGGGTGGCTAATTTGGCCTTGTATGACTGGTCCAGTCTGTTGTTCTTTAATAGTTTTGCCCAATTTTAATGATCATTTGGTCTCACACACAGTAAGAGGGTGCTCAGTGAAGACCTACAGAATAGCAGTTTTCTGCTTCCAGACTGGTCATCTATCAGCTATTACTTCTCATAGTTTTCTGTTTACCTTTTTTGAGAGCCGTCCTTTCTAAATGCCTTTGCATCACTGCTTCAAATTCATGAAGGCAACTAACGTACAGTATATCTCATTTCAAAGGTATGAATGAGATTCTTCCTGGAGAAGGGAGGACTAAATGTGTTACATATTTCATTTCACACTTATGTATTATGTAGGCCATTTTATTTTTGAGTAAGATAGTTGAGTTTGCTTAAAGGTTTGGTTTTTTTGAAAAACTACTGTGAAATTTAAAAAAGTATTTTGCAGTAATATGTCTTGAAGGACACTCACCTTGACTTTCATTATCACCTCTTTAGGATACCGATGAGTTTATTTTACCGACTGGAGCTAATAAAACCCGGGGCAGGTTTGAACTGGCCTTCTTTACCATTGGAGGATGTTGCATGACTGGTGAGTATAACCATTTTTTTTAAGTGTCCTCAGCCCAAGTAGTTTATGGGACCCAAAACCAATAAGAACATTGATTTCAGGGCTTTTTAAAAAATAAGTATTTTCATATTTGATAATGAAAATGAGTCAGAAGTACAGTTCTTTAATACAACAAAGCTATAATATTTGGATGAATTGTTATGATTCACCAGGGGCTGCATTTGGGGCAGTGAATGGTCTTCGGCTAGGATTGAAGGAAACCCAGAACATGGCCTGGTCCAAACCAAGAAATGTACAGTAAGTGTTGGGTAATCATTTGACATATAAATGCTTGAATGCTAACCTCTGCTTTGTTAGTTTGATGGGTATAACCCTGAGGTTACAAATGTTTAGAGACTTGATACTTGATACACTTTTTTTTTTCTTTCTGTTTTTTTTTTTTCTTACCCCAAATAGAAGAAATGAAGAAATCGGATTACTGACTCTTAGGTTTTAAAGGGACTAAATTTTTGAGTCAGTATCCCTTAGTTGTCTGGTGCTATCCTCTCCTAACTTCTCAGCTACATATATTCAGTTTTTTAGGCTGTGTGACGTGCTTTTTAAATTGGTGAATTAGTATAGGAAATCAGATTGTTCAGAAGTGTGTAGAACCAAGGGATTTAGTAATGAAATAGGGAGTTCATAAGATTGATGGCTAGGTCTGTTATTTTACTTGAACTTCTTACTGACTTCACTTTTTGTTTCTGAAACTAGAGAGCCATAGAAACTTTAAAGTTTTAGAACTTAGTTTTAGAAGGATAAGGCTGTCTTTCCTCAGAAACTTGAAGCCTACAGAAAAAGGAAAGGACAATTAAATGGGTTAGAAAGTATGTATGTCTTTACTCTATGTAAGAAATAAACATGACCAATCCTTGTTGCTCTTGCTTCAGTAATATGTTGCTCAGATTTTCTGTTTTTTTTAAAAGAAAATATAATTGCTTTTATTTTTACTCTTTCAATTTTCATTTTAACACATCTTAATTCTTTTTTTGTAAGAGGAATTACAGTGTGTGTACCTTTGGAGTTACAGTTTGTTCTAGAGCTCTTTAAACTCCATTATCTGTGAATATTGTTCAGCCAGCAGATGGCAGCAGATGAACTAGTTAGACCTTATGACACTTGAAGGCCTGTCAAGTTTTCCTATTACTGTCTGGATTGTTGTATTCACATTACCAGCCCAGATCCTTTATATTTTTGTGTAATTCTTAATATTTTCCTCTTTGGTCCAGTAATTTTTATTTTTTGTATTAAAATTTTCATTTGATAGAAAAGTAGATAAAAATAGTATGGTGAACACCTGTGAACATAACTCTTCTTCAACAACTATCAGCCATGTTCCATCTCCTTTTCCTGTCTAGTATATTTTGAAACAAATCCCCAAATTTATATTGAATATGAATTTGGAAGTGGAAAATGTTCTAGGAAGAATAACTTGCTTCATTTTCTAAAATAGTAATAGGTAATCATTGTATCTTTCTAGATAAACAACGTTTAGTAATGGGGAGAAGGTAGGATTTATAGCCAGGCAGATATATGTGGCTTCAGAGTCCCAGTTTCATGACTTACTGTTTTGTGATTTTGAGTAAACTCTTTTATTTTCTGCCCTTAGGGTTGTTAAGAGATGATAAAAAGAGAGGTTGGTAAGGGCTCTGTTCACCCACATGGATATCAAGAACCTCATTGTCAGAGTTGCAGTAGGTCTTCTGTAGATAAGAAACACATTTGCAGTTCTAGGCAAGGGGTAGTCTAGCAGTGCTTAGTCAGAGCTAGATGCCTTCATCACACATCATTTGTGTTGCCAGATTGCATCCTAAAGAAAGTCACCATTTTTCAGTCCCTCCAGTGATACAGTAATGGAGATGAATAGTTTTAAAGCTTATTACAGATGAAAAAATTACTGAACCTTACTCTTACTAGTAAATGTGTAACATAATTAGGAACAAAATACTTCTCTTTGCAAAAATTACTAATTTTTAAAAATACTGTTTTATAAGTAATACAAATTGTCGTTACTATAGAGATTAATTGAATCTTGTAATAATTAAATGAGTTCTTCAACTCTTCATTACTATGCTTCCACTGTTTCCAGCAATAGTCAGCCATCCGGCCTGACCTGTTGCCGTGATGGTGTTACACTGCTGGGAGAGCATTGTCTTGTCTTCTTCCTCTGGTGGCCTGCGTTGCTGTTTTGGTGACCTGGGGCACTGGTGCAAGGCGTGACTGTGCTTCCTTGAGAGTGTGCTAAGCATTCTCTTTGGCTGCTTGGTGCTAGTCTGGAAGCAAACAGTGCTGTTTCTGTCCCTTCAGTTCTGCTTTATGTTCTTTACTTTGATTCTAGTTAGTATTCTGAGTGTACGCTCTTATTCCCAAAAGAAATGAAGCCAGTTTGTCATAATCAAAATGGCATCTTTTACATTATCTGTTTCTCTAATCATTTTCTTTACAGAGTAGATTGTTATTAAAAACTTTGGTATGTTTCACATGTATTCAAAGTACTGAAGATTTTAACCTTACTCCTGTCTACATAGAGTAAAAACTAGTTTTTGAAATTTGAGGAGGTAGTAAGGTATATCCTAAAATTAAGAAAACTCAAGGTATGGTTGTAAGCATTTTAAGTAGCTACTGTATTTTTTCTTATAATTATTAGAGATAATGATTCTAAATGAAGATTCTTCTTCCCTGGTAGGATTTTGAATATGGTGACGAGGCAAGGGGCACTATGGGCCAATACTCTAGGTTCTCTGGGTAAGTAGAAATCTCATTTACTAATAAATCATTAATGTAAAAAAGGACATGGAAGTATTGTGGACAACTTGGTCAATGAAAATTTTTGTTCTAGGATATGAGACAATTATATTTAAATCTGCTCTGGTGAATAGGGTAGACATCACAAACTCTTTGTCCAAGCAGAACAACACATAAAATCGTGTTTTAACTAAGTTGAAATTCATGTAATTTTAGTCCAGGGCAAAGGTTTATCCTCGTTAGGAAAGGTTCAAGGTCCTGTAGTGAGACGTGATGGATTAGTCCTGTCCTTTTGCTGTGTTTTCCTAATAGTCTACTCAGCAGTCTGAGTGGCTCATCCAAGTGGCTTTCAAGGACCTCATTGTCAGAATTGCAGTAGGTCCTCTGTAGATAAAAAACACATTTGCACATAGGCAAGGGGTGATTTAGCAGTGCTTAGTCAGAGCCAGGCGCTTTCATCACATCATTTGTGAATGATAGTCTTTTCATTATTGATGACATATATGCTCTGACATCCAGGGTTTTAGTAATTTATTAACTTACTGAATTTCTGATTATCCTTTTACGTGTGGCAGAATAAGAGAAAATGTAGACAACTCATTGAAAAGATAGAAAACACCTCTGCTGTGACATAGTAAGATCCCAGCCTTGTCATGGGATTTGGATGCAGTGTGTTTGCATACCATGCAGTCAGATTTGTACTTTGGGTTCTGGTATGTAGTGCTTCCACATGCTGCTCTTGCTGAGACTTTCTTGGTTTCAACACTGCAAGTCCCATGTTGCAGAAGCCCCTCAGTCCAGGGCTCACTGAGTATGTGGTCACCTGCTGGTGACCCTGTACATTCTGACTGTCCTGTGACCAGTCACAATATTCTCATGTTCATTTTTGGTTAAGTAAATTGACCACAAAGATGTCCTTGTATAGACATGAACATAGCTCAGCAGAGGAGTAAGACTGAGCTTGGTATACCATTGTTGGAGGGCCAAATGCAGATATAATTTTGAGAAAGGATAAGAAAAAGTTTCAGTGCAGTCACCTGATAGGAATCTGTAAAAGCTCAAAAGAAGGATTGTTTGAGGAAGGAGCTTATAAAATCAAATGGTGCTAGAGTTACAGATTTTAGCATATGAAAATCTCGCATTCTTTTAAATAATGTTTTCCCTTATAATAAAGTGTGTAGGTGTTTAATCCACAGAATAGCTATTATGGGTAACATATAAGTGAAAACTTAAAATATTCTTGGAACTATCCGGTAGCACTTTGTAGAAATAGCAACTCTTGGTGTTTCTTCTGAGTCCACAGATGTTTCTTTTTATAGCAGTCAGAATCATTCATGTGTGCATGTGTGCCTCTTCACATTTTAGTGGATGTTGTTCTTCCTACTTTTTAAGTGACTACTGTATACTGTTTCATTATGCAGAAAGTCCTCTTCTGTATCAGTTCAGGTGGTACAAATGCTCTTGATGGGCATTTTACTAATTGCCAGGGTTTTACTGTTTAAAATAATGTTCAGTGATTGTTGTATATCTGTCTTTGGAAAAATCAGAAATAGCCACACTCACTTTTAGTCATGCTTTTGTTACTGATCACTTCATTTCCCCTTTAGCTTTGCTTTATAGCGCATTTGGTGTTATCATTGAGAAAACACGAGGTGCAGAAGATGACCTGAATACAGTGGCAGCCGGAACCATGACGGGCATGTTGTATAAATGTACAGGTGGGTGCTGCTGCATAGAGAGCTAGTTCTTAATTAATACACTTGAAGCATGCTTGTTATCCACAATTCTCAATGAAAATTCTTTATTTTCCAGTATAGCCTGGTGCTCAAACCTTGTGGTTATTTTGGTTTGTTTTTGTTGTATAATTGTGGTAAAATATAACACTGTCTTAAATATAGTACAGTTCAGTAGTGTTAAGTATACTCATAGGTTTATGTAACCCACCTCCAGAGTTTTTCATCTTGTGAAACTAATGCTCTCATGCTCATTGGACAAAAATTCCCCATTTTTCTCTCTTTCCAGTTCCCAGCAGTCTTATAATTACTGTGTCTTTGTATGTGATTACTGTAGGTACCTATACAAGTTGGTTCATGGATCATTTGTCCTTTTGCAACTAGCATATTTCACTTAGCTAATATCCTTAAAGTGGTGAGTATAGGGCCCCGTGATCCACTTACTTTCCAAAAGCCCCACCTTTGAACACCTGAGACTTTTCAGAGACATTTTAGATCTGTAACATTGGGACTGAACCCAAGACCTTGTGAGGCTAAGCACACACTCTTACCACTGTGCTACATCCCCAGCCCAGTGCCAGATTTATTTTTTTTATCATGTAGATAGAGCTTTGTTTACTTTCCATAATTCTATCAAAAAATAAACATGATTTTAGAAGTTAAGGTTGTTACATCTAAAATTCTCAATGATGTGCAGTGGTCTCACATTCATCATGCTCACCTTAGTTTCCTGCTTCCAAAGGCAGCTGCTTTAATTCTTTACCTTCATCTTTTTGAGTAACATGACTATTTGGCTATTTCTTGGGTTTTTAATCTTAGAATATTGACTTTCTACTAGAAAAAGTGTATTAGGGCCTGTAAAAATTGTACAAAATGTACTTGTTGGAGAAAGAAGTCTTGCTTTTTATAGAACATCTCATTTACAAGTCTCTGAAGGAACTAAAGTTTTATGGCGTTCGTTTTATGGCCAGACTGAAACCCAGGCAAGTTACTTTCATTTTCTACCCAGCTCTTTAGAGGCCTTGTGCTAATCAACCCCAAGTCTGACTCCAAAGACATTTATTTCCACACCAGATCACCTCCATGATATAGAAATGGAGGAATTTTTAGAAAAGGGAAAGGACTAATAACAGTTGAGCATGGACTGAATTTCAAGTGTATCTGGTCCCATGATAAGTATAGGGAGGGTGGGGGAGAAAAGTCTGGCAGGATAGTTTAGACCTCTAGAGTGTGGGAGGCCAGGGTGAGAAGTTTAAACTTAGACCAGAGGTCCTCAGAAAAGTGACAGATGATGTCTATCACTTGGTCATATGATCACACATTGTATGTGTGAACCAAAATGCTACACAGTATCATATAAATATGTACAATTACTGTGTGTCAATTAAAAGTATATTAATAAAAGTGTCCTTAAACAAGCAAGCTTGAACACTTCAGCTACACAAGATTCCAAAGCCCTCTGCTTTGGACAGGGAGTCCTGGAGACATTCTTGTGGGAGATTAAACTAAAAATAAGATAGATTGAAGGCAGAAGCAATTAAAAATGGTCAAGGAGGCTAGGCGTGGTGGCACTTGCCTATAATCCCAGTACTCAGGAGGCTGAGGCAGGTGGATCATTGCAAGTTTGAGACCAGCTTGGGCTACGAAGTGAGCTCAAGGCCAGTCTGAACTGCATAGCGAGACCCTGTCTCAAAAAAACCAAAAAATAAAAAAAAATCGTCAAGGAAAAATATTACTACAGGAGTTTAAGGTTTGTAATACGGGCATCAAGGCAGGCACTAAGTAGTGAATGTTACGTTTGATGAAATGGGGGATGGTGAGGGAGATGTAGTTTTCTTGCTTTGTGTTTCTTTGTCTTGTGACATTGTGGAAGTAGCAGCATGACTGAGTAGCACCCACACCGTCGTCCCACCCAGTCTCTTCCAGGAAGCACTGAACTCACAGATATCACTCATTTATTTTTGACTCCTGTAGTTCTCTGTCCTTTCAGAATTCTCTTTTGCTAGTAATTCCTGACTATTTGGTGATTGTTTTCTGTGAGTGGTAATAGGTTTCCTAGATCCCTGTGATGACATTAGGAAAGTTTTCAAGAGTTTGTAAACCTGGAGTTAATATGTGGTACAGGCTCTGTTCAGGAGACATATGGAAGTTACAGTACACATATGAATAAATGGAAATGCCAGTACTGTATTTAGAATATAGGATGTTGTAGCAAAAAATGCCCCCCCCTCCCCAATATACTTCAGTTTCTTAGTTGCCCAAGTAATAGTTCCTGCTTTAGTTCTGGTTGCTTCTGGTCTCAAAAATGGCTGGTCACTATGATGCACATTGTATAAACCCATCCCCAATTGACAAGCCATTCTGCCTCTGTACTTTCTGCTTGCTTTTCCAATATAAACCCTAGACCACAGAAGATTGCGTACGAGTATTTTAGAAGTGATCCCTGTCAGTGCCCGTCGAGATAAATAAAGCTGCCTCCTAGATGTCGTTTTGGTGTTGTTTTTGCAGTGTAATTAAAAGTCCAATTGATCCTCTTTACGGTACCGTGAGAGACTATGATTTGCTGTCTTGCCCCTTCAGTGGCTCCAGGTTTGACTCCTTATTTGTCCTTTACTCCCACTTTGGGCCTCTGTTCTTCCTGTTCCTTTTTCGTAGAACAGTCTTTCCAGACATGCACCTCACATGCTCCCGAGTCTGTCTTCTTGCATCTGTCTTTCTTGAAGCATCTCTCAAACACCATAGTACGTATACATAATTTTGTGCTGTGAGATAATTTGCTGAGAGAGGTGTTATTTAAGCAAAAGATCAGTATTTTTAAAATGCTAATAATTAATGCCAAAATGTCCTTCCAAGTGCTAGCTTACCTTTGCTGTTATGAAGTGTCAGTTGGTAAAAAATAACTGTCTTGGTTACTTTCCACTTACGGCTGAGACAAAATACCTGACACCCAAATTTAAAGAGGGAAAGGTTTATTTAGTTCACAGTTTGTGGAGGTTTCAGTCCAGAATCTGCTGGCTCCAAAGCAGGGTAGCATGGCACAGGGGCAACAGTTCAACAGAAGACAGCAAAAGCAACAAGAGCAAAGTGGAGCGAGGAAGCAGGCCTATTGCCCTCCTTTACATTGTATGCAGGCACTGCACTGTGGAGTGGCTCCTTTGTACCCACTACCTTTACACCCATACCTCCTCCATAGGGTCCTCTTGCACAGGCTCAGGATGTTTACTAAGTGAGGACCCTGGCCCCCTGCTGAGTCATTTAGTTAAGCTTCTAAACTTCTCAAGTGGACACAATGTATCAACCATTACAATAACCGTTTCACTTTGGTATTCCCTGCTTGTTCATGGGACTGAGCATTTTCAATTATCAGTTACTTGTATTTTCCCCTGAAGTCATACCCTTCATTGTTTTTAATTGAGTTGGTGCTTTAACTGATTTGATAAAATGTATTGTATATTATGATAGTTAGCTTTTTACCTTTTATATATATATTACATGAAATTTTACTTATTGGAAAACACAATGCTAATAGTAAAGTTATCCAGAGCAGGTGACTCATATTTTGGCAGGTGACATTTTCGTACATTCAGTTTAGACATTGATAAATAGAATGTTTTCACAATAATTCTGATGGTAATTGCTTAATTTGAAAAACTAGACTTGTATATCACTTTACTTACTTTGTCTTTGTAAACTGACTTACAGAAAACATAGGATTATCTTGTCAGGGTTTTGGCAAGAAGGAGGACTTACTAGTAACTTTTGCCTGTGAGAACTTGTTTGCTGAAAATGTGCAACTAGGATGCTCTAAACTAATTGATTATAGGAAAACTATAGCTGTTCTTGTCAGGTAGAACATAATCATCCTTAAATGGATGTCATATTCCTCAGGGAGTCCCATAATGACATTTCACACCTTCTGAAAAGACATTTGTATAACTCATTAAGGAAATATGAGACCTGAATTAAAAATCATATTATCAGACTTCTTTTAACCTGGCTTCTCTGGTCTGACAACCACCCATTTTCTTATATATTTTTTACTTGTGATCTTTCCACTAATATAGCTTCGTATATTCCATGTTGAGGCTTTTAGTCTGAGCTGCTTTCTACATTTTTTTTCCTCTTTGGATTTCTATTTTGAAGAGTACATTGGGGGTCTATTGGGAAATATTTTAGTTGAGCAGAAGTGAGCCTTTCTCCTAGGGTTAATGGTTCTTTCCTTTGTGGTTTATCCTTGCAGTATTCTTTTTTGTTTTGTTTTTTGGTACTGGGAATCAAACTCAGGACCTCGCTCTTGCCAGGCAGGCGCTTGTGCCGCTGAGCTGTATTCCCAGCCCAATCCTTGCAATATTCTGAGAGTGCCTAAGCACTCTTGGAACTCTTTGAGTGTGAAATTTGAAGTTACATTTTTATTCCTGCCACGTAAAATTAATTTCTGCAGTCTGTCTTCCTAGGTTTATTTGAAACCAAAAATTAATAAAAAGACACGATTTGTCTTTTTAGAGTGATTTCAATGTGTTGAGCTAAACTGTTTGAACCAGGACTGGTGAGCAGATGTTGGGATTCTGGGTCAGCAGATTATTTACTTCCTCTTATTATTCACTTCCACAGTTGTAGTAGAAATCGAAATCTACTTTTCACTTGACATGGAATTGATAGGTTTTCTTTTGTGTTTTTTCTCTTCTGAGCCATGGATTTTAATGTCCATAATTAAAGTTAGAAGGGTCCCATACTGTGCCTCATTACTGCAGGGAAGTCCTGACACAGAAATTAAGGCTCCCGTTTCTTTTGATAACATCAAATATTCAGCTGTTTCCTTTCTAACTTAACAGTTACTCAGTATGTCTTAAGGTAGCTGCTAACTTGGTGCATTTTTTACATTCAGTACTGCCTGTAACAGGCAACACCATAGTAGACTACCTCCTGTAGGGAAATGGGGAGTGGCGTGGGGCTTTCATTGGCTAGAAGCGTTAGTGCCACTGTGCATAGTGGGCTTGGTGTCTTCCATCTATTCAAAAGATGGAATTCCTTATTTCATGTGAAATCTCTGATTCTTAAAATACTAATGTATCTTTTTAACCTAGTTTGGGTCAAACTCTTGTTGGCTAAGTGCCATACTTGGGCCACCTTTTAAATGTCTCCCCCTAAAAGCCTTCAGTGTGAAAGTATTTTTAGATTTTTTTAAACAAGATTTTTTTCTATGCTAAGGTAAAGCTTTATGGGTATGAAAGGTATTTACAATCTTACTGTCCTAAGGAGATCTGTTTTTGCAAGTCCATGTGCCTGCATGTTTTGTAAGAAGTATTGTTAGAGCTCTTGAAGATGAAGTTCCATATGAGGTCCATTTTATACACCAAACCTCTTATTCTCAGATGTCTCAGGATTTTATGATCCTTTTGAGGTTTCTTATGTCTGCTCAGTAAAAATGTGGTGGATGAATTACTATAAACTGTGACTCACCTAACCAGAAGGTGCCTAATGTATCATAAAGCAACCCAGCCAATAAAGAGATCTTTCAGAGGCTTGAGTAGAAAACATTGGTAGTTAATTAAGATACGGTTTTTTAAAAATGTGTTGAAGATTTTAAGAATGTGACTTTTGAAAAATTTTCTGAATATTGTGCTGATCAGATTTGCATGTGATCACTTTACTGGTTGATGGATTTAAAATGAAACAAATTACTGTAAGTGCTTATTGGTGAAAGTGTAATTGTGCTGGGTGTGGTGATACATACCAGTAGTCCAGCTATCTGGGAGGTGGAAGCAAGGATATCATAAGTTCAAGGCTACTCTGGGCAATATGTCAAGACCCTGTCTCAAAAAGTTGTTAAAGTAGAATCATAACTCAGTAAATGTTAATTCCTTTTCTGTCTTAGAGCCGAATGTGATATTTGATCTTTATCCAGGCCATTTTAATCCAATTCTCCGAGATTTAATTTAATTATTCTTTATATGTGAATGATGTTGAGTACACTCATAATACCATTATTCACAGTGGCTAAAAGGTAGAAGTAACTCAAGTATCTGTTTTTATTTATGAATTGATACACAAAATGTGTACCCACATACAATGGAATATAATTCAGCCTTACAAAGGAGAGAAGTTCTGGCATAACATGGATGAACCCTGGCATTATGCTTAAATAACTGCTTTGTGACAGTCAGTCACAAAGGGACAAATACTGAGTGACAGTCAAAATAGTCATAGAAAAGGTACAAGGTGGTTACCAGGGTTAGGAAGTAAGTTATGTTTAATGGATAGTTTCAGGTTTGCAAGAGGAGCTCTCTGGGGATGAATGTTAGTGATAATAGCACAACAGTGTAAACATTCTTAATGCCACTGAACTGAACTATTGAAAATAGTTAAGATCTGTGTATTGTTCTATGTATTTTTCCACTGTTTTGTATATATTTTTTGGTTCTGGGAATTGAACTTAGGGCCTCATACATGCTAAAAGCACACATTGTACCACTGAGGATGGTTGGAAGCCCTCTCAGTATGTAAGTTAAATCTGTTCCTCTAAAGCAGCACCAGCAAAACTAAGATTTACATTTTATCTTTTCAAATGGTCACATTTTCAGTGGTACATAAGTACCTGCGTAATAGCTTTGAGCCTCAAAGACTGAAAGATTTACTCTCTGGTCCTTGTAAGAAAGACTTGCTGATCTCTGTTGTAAACTATTATTTTTATAGTTAGCTCTGTATCCCAAAACAATGCACTTAAGTATTCTAGGTGTCCTTTCCACATGTTTAGAAAATACTTGCCCTGTCTTTCTGGAAGTGTTGTGTAAGGGTGTAAGATAGGAGGTAACACTGACACACAAGTCTTGTTTCTTTTCCTTTATAGAGATTGACCATTGGTCTTATTTGCTTGCTCTGTGTTCAAAGCAAGTATATTTGCTGATCAGCTTCCTATGCTTAGTTGGCCAGAAGTTACTTGATTAGAGAAAGACTAAAGCAGAGGCCCTTAAACTTCTTTGAAGTCAATCACTTGGGAAGCCCTGGAATTAAGGGAAAGAGTAAAATTAAGATATGGCTGGTATATGATAAAAGGCTGCCCTTGAATCAGGATTAACTGTGTGGTGAGTAAATCAGACACTGCAGATATTTGCTATCTCCTTGCTGGAGATAACTTTTCTAGGCTTTAAAGAACTAACATCTGTCATTGATTTGAACCAAGTTTTTGTTTCATTTTGATGAAAAAATAGAAAGCTTTGGGGGAATAAATTCTTCCTAAGAGATATTTTAATATCCCCTAGTAGTCCAAAGATCATAAAGCCTTATACATCCTGTTGTCACTGTGGGACTCCCAGTGTCTGCCAGAGGATTTTTATGGAAGCTTGACTACTGAAAACTTGTGTGGCAATTCTTCCATGTAGCCTGGTGGAAACTGTTTCTAGGACATGCAAAGCAAAGAAAGCTCAGCTGGAAGTGGTTTGCAGTAGACTTTATGTGGATGTATCATGCATTAGGGGTCTAGAGTGTCTTTATGAAGCTCAGTGTTCATAGCAAAGCATCAGTGTGCTTTCATTTATCTTCTCTGTCATTTTTTTACTAACAAACAGCAGCTTGGGCCACTGCTGGTTTCGTGTTTAGAATTGAGTTCAGTACATTTCATTTTGGCTGCCTGTTTGAGAGTACCCTCATTACACTTAAAAGTTTTAAGTCTAGTAACTGAGACATAATGATACTGTTGCAGATACCTTTAGTGTTAGTCTCCTGTGCCTCAGTTTTGGTTTTTTTTTTTCCATTTTAATTGTTATTAATTAAATCTAATTATTTACTTTTGGCCTGGCAGCTTTTTCTTGACTTACTAGTCAAAGGCATGACACTGATCATTATTAAACTGAACACATTAAATTAGCAGGTTGAGTGTACAGTATTTTTAAGTTTTTGTAATGTTTCAGCCACTGACTACATGAAAAATTAACTGACATGCCTACCATCTAAACGCAACAAGATGATGATATTATGTGGACTTTAAGGAGATACCTTCCATTTACTTTGATTTGTGAGGCTTTTTAAATGTTTTGCTCTCTATCCCACACTCTCACACTTTTATGGGTGATGCCTGCAGCTTGTTTGGGTATGTTTAGGACAGATAATTGTGACATTTCACAGTGGAAGCTAAGCAGAACACCTATCAGAAGCTTTCAGACTGGAGAGACGCCTACAAGGAGGGGCCCCCTTTATCAGCCAAAGACATCTGGTAGACTTACTGAGAAATAGCTAACTCAGAAGTGTTTCATTGTAGCAATGTTGCTATATTTCGCATAATTGACTGGCATGGAGGTCAAAAGGGCCAAGAACTATCACCATGGATCCACCCCACCCCACCTTTGTCTCCCTAAAACATGACCTGGATAAAACAGTAGCTACAGTGTAGGCCACCTTAAGTCTCTGATCCCTTGTTTATGGAGCATCAAAATGTATCACATTCTTTTAAGTTTCCTTGGGAAGCCCCTTCTGTGGAGTTTTCTGGTTTGGATTTTCTTTACCACATAAGAGTTACAAGACTGACATAACTGTAACCAAGCATTTTCTATTTTGAGAAGTATCTGTGCCACTTCCACCTATTAGGGGTTTTTTAAGTGACTGAAACATTATTTCTGTATTTTGAATAAAATCTTTTTTCGTAAGAAAAAGTATACTGTTGTCAGCAGAATTAAAGTCTGAGTCTTGAATTTTTCCAACCAGTCTGACAATGCAAGGTGGCTTACTGCTTATTAGTTGGGGGAGAAGAACACAGGAGGGTTGGTGGGGGTTGGTGTACCATCAGCCCTAATTCAGAGTTTGAGTAGACTCATCTTATTACTACAGCTGCTTGCATCCTCAGTTAATATTTGGAGGACCTCTCCAGAGTCCAAAGACTGTTACGACTTTTTCCACATAGTTTTCACCCTGTTTGTATTACAGCCTAAGTTTACTGACTGCTGTGAAGTATAGACCTCATAACCAGCAGGAAACGACTGACTGGTTGGAACCTCAGTAATAAATGTGAGACTTACCCATAACTGCTATAGTTATAAGGTGGATTGAGAGAAATCACGAAATCTTTGATGATTCTAGGTTCAAAATGAAAACTATGGAGAAAACCTGAATATGAAATTATCAAAACATGTATTGAATGGTTTGGGGAACTTATCTCTTGGACTTAAGTCTACTTTCGTTACTTTTAAAACTTACTGTTTGGGATAGAACATTCTTTTAAAATGATGTTTCTCCATGTCTTTTCCTTGTACCATATAGTTATGTAGCCCTCAGTGCTAGGGTAAATGTGCAGTGTAAGGTTGTTTCATTTCTTTTCCTTCTCTTCTAGGTGGGCTTCGAGGGGCTGCACGAGGGGGTCTGGCGGGCCTAACACTTACCAGCCTGTATGCACTGTATAACAACTGGGAGCACATGAAAGGCTCCTTGCTCCACCAGTCACTCTGAAGATTTTGCCAACTCATGGAGGACACTTCTAGTAGTTATCCAGTTTATAAGCCAGTCTGGATTTATTTTCTCCTGCCTACAATTCATTTGAAAAATTGGAGATTCTGATTTGCTATAACGAAGATCATGGATAACAGATACCCAGGAACCAGCAGCCGTTCTTGCCCTCAATGAGCTGAAGCCAAAACCCTTTGGTAGCTCACTTAAGTAACATGGTTCTCTTTTTTCTTTGGAGATGATCTTGCACCTATCTGTTCTCTCTCCGACCCCTGAACTGGAAAGCCACTTATTCCCAGAATTCAGGTCATACTTACTGTCAGTTCTTTATCACGAAATTTGTTCATTAATGACCTGAAACTGTAATATTGCCTTGTACTCTAAATAAAGGGTGAAAATAGAACCAGAGTCCTATCTCCAGTGTGAAGTTGGTGTCTCCGTTTGAAAACATACCCAAATATAAACATTACTGTTGGCATTTTTTTTTTTTTTTCTTGTATTGAAATGAAGGGCTATTGGTGGCAGTAACTAAAGAGTTTTCTCTGTGGAGGTGGCAAAAACCACCTCAGAATTTCAAGTTGATCATTAGAATACTGTGTCAGAACACTGCCCAGCACCTCACTCCTTTCTGTATGCAGTAACTTGTTCTTTCTTGGGACTGACTTAGGATTAAACATTTCACAGGAAGCTTTGGGAAAGCTAAAGGAAATGAGGGCAAAATACTTACTTTGAGTCTATCTTCTTACTCATAAAATGAAATTAATTATTATAGCACTGTCTGTTACACATATACTTAATATAAACCACCGTCTATGTGATTGCAAAGTAAACTAGGGCTTTTTTGGAGATCTCTAACAAAGGGAAACCTTTGGCAAAGCACTGAGCCCCAGCTGCTCAGTCCAGTTTAAAAGCAGATGTGGACTTTTCAGGCAAAGGCTAAAAATGGAAGCAGCAATACACCTACTCTTGGCTAATTTAAGATTTATGAATTACAGTGAAGGTATCACTTATGTTTAAATTGCTTCCTGGCTGTATTTCTAACCAAGTACATCACAGTTATGCAACACATTTTTAACCTAGTTGTACAAATACACACGTAACAACTGTAGTGTGGCTGTTATGCTTTAATGGAAGGAGGTATAAAATGCATCAGTGCAAAAGAATATTTTACATACTCATTACCATACTGATTAATGTAAATTACATTTTGATGGTGTAAAATACTGTGTGTTAGACCTCAAAAATGAAACTACAAAGTTTCCTGCAATTAAGATATTGGAAAGGCTCTGTAAGTTGTTTTTACCCACCACCTTTATTATAATTCTCAGTGAGATCTGGGAGGATTACAAAATGAGAGGCTCTTTTCAGCTGTGGTTCAAAGGATTGTAGAGAAGCTCTATGACAGTGTCTCTGTGAGATTGGTATTTCCCTCAAAGTATTTCCAGTAACACAGGCAGTTAAGAGGCTTAATAGTTTTGAAGCCTGGAAGGCAGCTAAGATCTCACAATTGTAAAATGTAACTCTCATCTACAGAAAAACGTTTAAACATGACTTTAAGGATTTTGAGAAAACAACCAATAGTTTCATCCATAAAACTTCAGTAGGCACCCCAAGGCACAAGTGTTCAAACCACCTGTCCAGTAAAATGCCACTGCATTGTACTTTTGGAGGTACAGGAATGCTTTGTTTGCGTCGACAGGACATTGACCATCCCTAGTCAGAAGCACCAGGTGTTAAGCTCAGGTTTCATTTACACAGGATGCACCAGAAATCCCTAAGGTAAATAGTTCAAGTACTACATTTCTAGCTGGGACTCTTTAGAGCCTGTAGGTATATAGAATATTGGAAAAGAGGCTGGGACAAACCTGGAAATGTTTCTGAAACAGGACAGAGTCCTCCAGGGGCTCACTAAATAATTTAGTAACAGAGGAAGGAATAAAGGCAAAATGTGCAAATGCCATATTTCTTCCAAATGAGAAAAAGTAATGTAAGGTTGATGTGTAGGCTAAAATGTTTGGTAATTAATGTCACGAATAGCCAAGATTACTAATACACATTTGGTAAGGAAAAAATACCACCGTAATGGCAAGGTTAATTTAGTGTGCAACAGGCTATCTATTAATTGAACAGAATAATCACTTCAGACCACTAAGCCAAGAAAATCCACAGCAGGAGAAGCATGTAAAGGGCCATCAAAAGGCTTGGGAGTTTGCTAGCTCTAGGATGCTGAACACAAGTGGGTTACTTTGGGGGAGACTACGGTATTTATGTACTTTCATTAACCCAATTTTAAGAGTCATGAAAGCCAGGGAGAGACCTGCCCCCTGCCCCTGACATGGCCTTTCTAAGTGTGTGTGGGGGAATTCATACTTCCATAAGGAGAACTGAATCACCTCAGCATCAACAAACAACCTCTTTCTGTAATAAAGTGGCCTGTAATTTGATGAGGTCTCTTGGCTAGTTCAAACTCGGGCAGGAAAGGAACTAAGCTGACTGGTCAGATCCAGAAACACAATGGAGAGGCAGCCACAGCTCACGGATGTGAGATGATCTGCAAACAAGCTCTGGAGTCACAGTCTACTCTTTTCACATCTGTAAAGAAACGCACAGAGAAGTCACTTCACCAGAGGAGAAAACCAAACTCAACCTTGAAACTGTCTTACTTCTCAGTAAGCTACTAGAATCCAAAAAGGGTTATGAAAATTCCTGATCATTACATCTTAAAAGGTTAAACTTCCAGTATGTCAGGTTACAGAGCAAGTTCAAATACACAGCATTTGTAGGAGCTCCTACTCTCCCACATCAGAAGCTAATGGGTATAGCTCAGTGGATAAAGTGCAAATTTGTATGTAAGGATAGCTCTCCAGTATTTGCACTGCTGGCAGGTACTCACCTGTAGAGGAGTTCGATACAACCACTTTTCTTTATCAACTTTAAGCTGCATGCAGGCAAAGAGATCGCAAACAGCTGGGAGGCCGTATCGGTCTGCGGGAAAGTTACGTTCCTCTTGTAGGGGTGAATTAAGAAATACTTCCTGCAAGAAGACAAAAAAGGTAGATTGCTTCATGACAACCAGGCGGCACAACACTGACTTAACTCCAGATAGTATTTATAAAGAATAATGTAAACATTGGCTATTCTTTGTAATAACCAAGAGCAAAGGTGGCAATTGCTATTTCTACCCTAAATCTTTAGCAATAAAACAGGCTGAGTTTTTTCTTTCCTGCAGGATGCGACTTTAGGACCAGGGATGCACACAAATATTCAGCTTGAATAATCATAAATCCTCCTGTTGCCTCTTGGCACCAAAATTAATACCTGAGCCAAATATAAAATTTAACATGTTTCAGGATCTGGGCCTTCTGCAAGGTTTGGAATTTAAAACAAATCTCAAAACAGGGCAACTGTGGATGTCTACTTACCTGGGCTTTCTTTCGAAGCAGCCACTTGTCTCCAGAAGGCTGGCTGAGACTTCCCACCTTCTTTCCAGGCAAGACCCAGTCAGCAGTATTAAAGGAGCACCAGGAAGTGGTCATAGGGCTTTTAAGGTTTTGTTTGCCAGCACTGTCCTTGGTATTTGGCACTTTATTGGGGCTCCCTTCTTTGCATGAGGACTTGATGAGCCACTCTGACAAGGAACTGTTTCTGAGGACCTGGAAGGAACCAGCAATTCTAGAAGGACTGAATGCCTCTGGTGCCTTAGCTTGTTCTGTTTCCTCTTTTCTGGAAGGACAGAGCCATGTATTGAGGAACTCTTTGTGATTTTCAAGCTCAGCTTTGGCTTCCATAGGCATCCCATTTTTATCCTTTCCTTCTTTCTTCAGAAGCCATCGACATAAAGCTTCCTTCTCACAATTCTCATCACACACACACTCTGCAAAGCTAGTGCAGGGCTCGTTGGCTTTGCATACTTCCTCTACTTTGTACGGTTCCTGACGGTTCTGGACAAGCCAATCTTCAGTAATCATGCTGGGGGTGGACAGCGGTTTCTTGGCCTCCAAGTGGTCATTCAGGCACTTCAGATTGCCCAGGTTTTCAATTTCCACACCTCTGGGCTGGTTGCCCTGACAGTTGGTACAGGTGGCAGGCTGGGCAAGCCAATCACTCATGCTGTAGGGCTCCTGGAACACTGCAAACAGGTGCTTAAACTTTTCACTGACTTCATGGCTGCCATTTTCAGGCTGCTCTAGCTTACAGGGCTCCTGGGAGGTCACCAGCCAATCAGACAGCCCCATGTCATCTTGATCACGATTCTCTAGATCGCCAACCTTCTCAACTTCAATGGATAGGGAACTGCTAGTAGAATGGCTCCTACATTTTGGGGAACTTGGTCTTCCAGGAAGTTCTTGTTGCTGACTCTTGAGCAGCCAGTTTTCTAAGCCCTTTAGGTTGCCCCAGACATCACTGAAGACACTGCAGGCTCTAACAGATGTCTACAAGGGAAATACACATTAGTTTGCCAGAATAATGATGAGTGCTTGGGGCTTCTTTCTGCATATTTACGGTCTTGCCCAATATTTCTAAATGTAAGTACACAGCAAAGCAAGAGGCAAGGGATTTCTGTTTATGTTATTAAAATATATGTATCTGACTACTTAAAAATTCTACTTTCTCTAGTTTTAGAAAACAGAAAAGTATAAAAAGCAAAGTAAGAAAAATATTTGTGGCATTGTGATTAAAAAGGTTTCATGAAGAGGGGGGCAGTGAATCCTGGGAATACCAACTGTTCCCAACTTCTTGAAAATATGTATCACAAGTTTTAAAGGGTAGGCAGAACTGTCATCTGAGAATGGAAAGAATGTGAGAATGTGCACAAATAATCTTGAATGTTTAGGACAACTTCATTTATATCTGGAAAAATGAGAATTTAAGTTCTGGCCAACTGATGAATTATTAGATACAGCTGATTTTACAGAAGTTAGGAATATATTCATATTATACTGCAGGAAAAAAAACTACAGTGTTTTTAAAACTTTCCACAGTAAAGAGATGTTAATTAAAAAATTATGTTTCCATGTTTAATAAAAAAACATTTCTAGATTATGATCAAAAACTAAACAAACTACTTATTAGTCATCTACTTCATCAATTACTACATAGGCCTCAGAAATCAACAGGGTAGCAACAATGTACCTGGCTGTTCTCCAAGTTCCATTTGTGGCTCAGCCAGTCCTGGGGGTTGGTGCTGGGCATGAAAGGAGCCTGGCGACTGCTGGCAGGTTTGCTTCCAAGAAGCCACTCGCTGAGAGGTACAGATGTGCTGCTGGGCACCAACTTCTGCTGCTCATACAGAAAACTCTGCTGTTTAACAAGGCATGGTCAAGTGCACAAGGAAGTTCACCTGAACTCTCTGTCTTGGGTTGTCTCTTGCCCTGAGCCAGGTGGGCCTTCCCCAAACCTCAATTTCCAGTTCTAAAATGAGGAAGACAGCAGCTCTCTAGGTTTATCTCAACTTGTATGTCTAGGATCTGCCTTTACAAACAAGTCACCTCTATGAATTAAAAAGGATCTCCAGAGAGAACCAAAACCAGTGACAACTAATGATAATTTACTATGACTAATAATTGCTTTCTCTTTTTTAAAACAAAACAACTTGACATTCAATAATGCAAAAAAGAATTATGTGGATAAAATAATGCATTGGTACAGGTTTTTTCCAAATAAATAGTAGGAAAAAAGTGGTCTGGTCAAAATTCAGAGAAAATGTAATTCAAGTAATGCCTCAGTTATCAGAAATGAAATAGCATCTCACCTGCTCTGGCACTGTAATGTGACCTCTTTTCTCTAGGAAGGGTCCAATGCTTGCAGAACTAGCATGAGCCATCAAGTGCTCAGGGATTTGCTATAAAATAAAGACAATTTCATGTTACTTATGCTAAGACTTCCTACCAAAAAAAAAGTGAAACTAAATTTCAGATGTATGAAGCAAAGCATTAGTATTTCCCTAGGATATTTACAATAAATTTAATGATCTACAAAGAAATTATCAAGTCTGATAGTTCCCTGCTATATAATTATAATAACACCAATCAGAACAGTAAGTTTCTGAAGGTTATGCCTCAAGAAAGACACAATTCACAGTAACAAGAGCAGCTATGAGACCCTAGCCAGGGCAAGTGCACCAGGAAGCATGTGAGATCTACATTACTTACAATGGTCTTCAGGGACCCAAATGTGGTGATGGTCTGGCGCAGAGCGGTTGTGTCAGCTTCAAAGAGCAGGACAGTCGAATCTTCAGGCTTAAGGGTCAAACTACCCAGTCTAGATAAAAAATAAAAAGGATGTATCTATTTTCAAAGAATATCTATTTTAGCTGCGTCTAAAACAAAAGCCAGATTGAGTCATACTGGTACTTAAGTTCACAAACTTAATTCCTCCCATGATTCTATTTGCAACAGAACTGCAAACATATTTTAAATGACTGCACTCTTCTAAAAAATATAACCAAAAGTAGATGGCTTAATCACTTATCAGCAAGTATAAATATATAAAGATAATCTTACCACAAGAACAGACAAGTTAAATCCCAACACTTACAAAATTGACTTTCTTTCACTATGCCAAGGCAAAAAGTCAAAACTAGCAAAAAAGGTCTTTACCTCTCCAGGCACACAGAGATTTGATTGGCTAGATCTTTGCTTTGGGTGCATTCCAGCTGATGAATAAGACAATTGAACTGGCCCAAGAGCTACAAGAAAACAAAACCAGGTAGCTATAATGACATTAAAAGCCCAACGTATGCCCAAGTTAAAAAAACAGCATTTGAGATTAAACTTTTATGTGACTTAAATTAGTGCACCATTGCCAGGAAAATATTCTCTGGAGAATGTCATGTTCAAACCAAGTCTAGGCACACAGTCACCTTACCCAGTAGAGCTGCTGGGCCTGCTGCTGAAGTGTCTCCTCTTTAAGCTGATGGATGAGGTCCACCTGCTCGTACAACCACACCTCACGGCTCCGAAGGCATTCCAGGTGACGGCTTATGCAGCTGTGAATCTGAGCTTTTACCTGGGGGACACACGTTAGCTTCACATGTGCCAGAACTCAAAGAATGACATAAAATGACAAGGCTCTTAAATGTTTGTGGTCACAAATCCTTCTGATTACATGACATTTATGGAGTATCTTGCCAGGGAAATGCATATGCTCTAAATTTTGCCTATAATTTCAGAGTTTAAGTCCAAAAGCCCACTCATGGACCTGCAAAGCCCTGTTTAAGAATCTAGTTTTAGAACCTCAGCCATAAAAGTATAGTTAATTTCTAAACTCCTTCTTCCACACTCCTCCTCCTAAGAAAATTAGGTTACTTTGGGCATCCTAAAGTAACTGGGAAAAATAAAACCCTAAAAACAAAACCAAAACCAAACAAACAAAAAAACCACAAAAACAAATAAGGATATGCCAGAATATACTGATCCCCTCAGTTTTCCAAACAATTTAGGATATATGGCTTTGCAAGTTCATCAGGGGAAAAAAGAGGATTAACTTAATAGCTGGTCATGAGCAGTCCATTTGCAGTAGGAGGACACTGACAGCAGGAACACTATTATGGGTGGACAGCTTATAAACTAAGTATTTCTGAGAGTGTAAACAGTGAATCACACAGGAATAAATGTAAAAATCCAAAGGAAGAAAATCAAAACAGTTATATACTATGCATGAGAATTCAAGCAAGAAATAACCTGAACTATATAGTGAGACCTTGTCTCAAAAAAAAAAAAAAGCAATGAACAATTTTTCTGTATAACAAAAGGTGTTTCAGAATCAAGCACTTCAACTTGGCACAGTCACTAACAGAACACTACTGTAATAAACCTATTTCATTCTGGCTTGTGGAATGACAAAGCCAGCCAAGACTGGGACACAGTGAAAGACCATGGCTCATACATCCAGCAGACATAGCTAAGCAGAAGACTGCTCACACCCTCTGGTATTTCTCATTAATGAGTGCCTGGCACAGGGGACAGACAGAGGGCCAATTAAAGATGCACACTGAATGTTGGTCTCTGGAGTGACAAAGTGTTTTCTAGGCTTCTCCATACCTGCCTTATTTCCCCCTGGAATCAATACACCAGGCAGCTGACTAGGATTACGTAGAAAATGCATGGCACAGAGTGAAACTTTCTGGCTGGCACTGAAACTTTCCAGTCTAGCTCTGTCCCGAGTCCAGACAAAGAATGCACATCCTACCTCTCGCAAGTTATCTTTGATCTGCTGTTCAGCCCGGAGAACTCCACCAATAGCAAGCTCCAAGTCCCTCCGTGCATCGCTACACCTCAGAAGGGGTTCTCTGATATTGGCGCAGCTGCTCTGGTCCTGGGTGGTGTTCATTCTGCTCACTATTCTTTAAAAGAATAAAGAGAAAAAAAATCCAGTTAGCACTATCATTACAACCAAAACCTATCCTTTAATCATCAAATGCTCACTGCAACCAGCTCCCAATACTATTTACTTAGATTCCCTCCAATACAGGACCCAAAGCACAGGATATGTAAGTCCTCCTCCCTTTCCCCTCCCATCTCTGCTACAAAATTCTCTAAGTCAACTTTAGTGACATTTCCTTGTGATGAAATATTCCTGAAAAAACACTAATAGTGTCGCATCAACTGAACATACTTTCCAAAAGATTAAAAAGAACACTAATCAGAATGTAAGTTCCTAGGCGGCAGATGTGACTAAGTGGTAGAAGCACCTGCTGGGCATGTATGAGCCACAGGATTAGGTCCTAAGCACAACTACCACCACCAAAGTAAGTTTCTATTTAGAAAGCACATGAACGTTCCTCAGCAGATTTAGACTAAAATGTATGGCACGATCCATAGTTACTGTGAAACCAAGCTGTTAACTGAAAATTTGAGGATGCAGAATACTGTTTAGAACTAGTACTTGCCTAAATGTATTGAGAATATGGATTTTTTTAATTTAGGAAGAATTTAAGAATGACTTCAACTAGATACATTCTTTTTAAGAATATAAATCTGATAAATTTTATATGGCTACTTGGGAGGCTGAGGCAGGAAGAGGCCAAGTTTGACGCCAGCATGGGAGACTTAGCAAGACCATCTCAAAATAAAAAAGGGCCTGGGACATACAGCTTTGCAGTGGAACACTTGCCTAACATGGATAAAGCCTTGGGTTCAATCCCCAGCACCACAAAGAACAGTAATATTTTCAAAATATTTGGTATAAAACAGGTACTTAAGAGAAACTGGTGTGGTAAATACAGAGGGTTCTCTATTTTATTTTATTTTTGTCATTTTGAGACAGGGTCTTGCTATGCAGTTCAGGCTGACCTTGAGCTCAGCCCAGGCTGGCCTTGAACTCGCAATGATCCTCCTGCCTCAGCCTCCTGAGCACTGGGATTACCGGTGTGCACCACCATGCCCAGCTTGGCTCTCTAATAAACAAGAGGAGAGAGAAAAGAGAGAGGAAGGACACAAGAAGCACGAATGGGATGAAAGCATATAATGATGTCATGAGACAAACAGAGTTTACAACCAAGAGACAATTTCTAAACATTCACGAAAAGGAAACTTGATCACTGCAGCCTAGTGTGTTCAAAGGGTCCTGAGTGTGTTTTCTGAGTCACATTCCTATCTTGTGTTTTCTGAGGCACATTCCTATCTAACTACTCAACTGTTTTCTCTGATTACCTGGCTGAAAACACAGAGGGCAGCTGTTAAAGTCAGAGAAAACATGGGGCTATGACAGTAACAGATTCCAAAAGCAACCTCTATATTGCTGGTACATCTTAAAAGATACAAAGTTTCTGTACTTGACTAAGGAAGAAGAGATTTTTTTTAAAGCAGGGATTGAACCTAGGGAGTGCTAAACTATACCTTCAGCTCTTTTTTGTTTTTTATTTTGAGACAAGGCCTCACTAAATTGCTCAGGCTGGCCTCAAACTTGTGATCCTCCTACTTCAGCCTCCAGGGTAGCTAGGATTATAGGCAGATGCCACCATCCCCTGCTTAATGATATTTGTCTGTTTTGAGACAGGGTCTCACTATGTAGTTCAGGCTGGCCTTGAATTTACAGCAAAAAAATCCTCAGGCCTCAGTCTCCCAAGTGCACCACCACACTTGGCAATATTTGTTTTTTAAAGAACCAAGATCTTTTATTGAAAGCAAGGTCTACATTGAGAGCAGTGTGCTGGGTCTGAGAGAAAATTAACTTGCCTGTTACATGACTTCATTCATGGTATTGTGCTTGTCACAGGACTAATCTGTTCCACAATTATTGGACTAAATTTGAAATTCATTTCGGGGTAACACACTTTAAAAGGAGGCATTTAGAAAAAGAGAAAAGGCTCCAAAACCATGAAAAAACTTTCCCCAGGAAAGAAGGCTGTTTGGCCTAGATAAGAGCCTCTGGGAGGATGTGATTACTATACTACTCTTAAGTACCTGCAGAAGAGATGATTTAGGCCAAGGGTTAAATGGGTTACAGTAGACATTCAGGCAATAACAAAGAACTTAGGGGCTGGGGATTTAGCTCAGCGGCAAAAGCGCCTGCCTGGCAAGCGCAAGGTCGTGAGTTCGGTTCCCGGTACCGGAGAAAAACCAAAAAAAAAAAAAAAAAAAACAAAGAACTTTCTAACAGTCTAAAGGCAATGACTGCAGAGAGGCCAGCTCTGTGCCTCAAGAGATCCTTCAAAGGGCTGCTGCCCACTTGCCACGAAGGGAACTGGGGCTGGCCTTGACCCATGTAGTGGAAAGCAGGGAGGGGCAAGGTGGTGTGGGTCCCACCTGCAGATGGATTCTTGGAAGATGCAACCTTGTGGGCTTTCCTTCCACCAGCTTGCCAAAGATCCAGATCTAGGAACTGCAGAGTTCCTACAAGAAACTCAGAGTTCAGAAACTTTCTAACTTCCCTTTTTGAGTTCCTTTACTTCAGTCTGTTTCTCTACCATGGCCCAAAAGAGGAAGGGCTCCAGAAACTGGATTTGAGCCCCTGGGTGATTTCCTTAACCCTGAAAGTACCAGCTGAAATCACTCTGCTGCTCTCTTTTGGAACTGTAAGCAAACACTGGGTGCCAGGTACCCATTAGAGGGACTTTGAAAAGCACCTGACCATATGGGAAAGAGAACAGTGAGAACCACAGGTTACCTCCTTACCACAGGCTACTCCACACTGCACGCAAGTCAGCCAGGCAAGGCAGGCCTGCTCGGTTGTCTTCCAGTTCGCGCCTGCTAAATTTCCCACTCTTCAGCCCTCATTCCATGTACAGAATGCCAGGGCCTACCAAAGTGTAAAATTCAATCAACTTTAAACATTGTTTCACAATGTCAAAAAGCCCAGAACAGATTCATGCAGTGTGGACCATGCCACTAGAACCTTGAACAACTCTTACCAACTCGATCAAAAGCACCACATAGCTACCTACTTCGGTAAGGGCAAAGGCAGAATGGATGTTCCCCCTAAACAGCATGGGCACGACACAGGATGAGATCATAGAGATACAAAACTGATTTTCCCCACATTTATTGTATTCTTCAAATTAAAATGAGTGCAACTCTTCAAAACAATCATCATGTTAGAATAAGGGAGTTTTTTCTTGTTTTGTTTTGTTTCCGGTACTGGGAATCGAACTCATGACCTTGCACTTGCCAGGCAGGCGCTGTGCAGCTGAGCTAAATCCCCAGCCTCTAGAATAAGGGTTTTTATAGTCCACTTGCCATCCACTAAGAAAACCTGTTTCCTAGCCGGGCGTGGTGGCACACACCTGTAATCCCAGCACGCGGGAGGCTGAGGCAGGAGGATCCTTGCGAGTTCGAGACCAGCCTGGGCTACAAAGTGAGCTCAAGGCCAGCCTGAACTGCATACTGAGACCCTGTCTCAAAAATACAAAAAAAAAAAAAAGAAAAGAAAACCTGTTTCCTGTCTTTATAGCCAGTCTTGTGTGCTTGGCCCCTGTTGCTCCCAGCTTGGTCCCTCCTCCTTCCTGTGCAGCAGTCACAGGGCAGTCAGCCGCCACATCCATGATCCTGAGGAAGGAGCTATGCAAATGTCTGCTCTCTAGCACTGTGGGGAGAAGGGAGCCTTCAGGTCTAAAATCAACCCCACCTTATAGGTGACCTCAGATCACTCAGGCAGCTGCTGGGCAGGCTTTAAAATAGAGACATGGGTGAGGTAACCAGCTCACACAATAACACACCACCTGTTTCACGTAAAGGGTCAGCATGCTGGGCAGGACACACTCCACTCCAGATTGTGACAGAACTGATATCTGGCTATGTTTGCACACTTGAACCCCTAAACTAGGAACTTAACTGGGCCTCACCTTCCTCTGCAAAGATGGACACAAGGACAGCAGTGTCAAAGGACAGAATCGCAACAATTTAAAGATCTCAACTGGCTTCAATTTCAACTCTAGAACTGGGCAACACTTTTGTTTCATAAAATAGAATATATGTTCCAATGGGCTGAGCAAAGGAGATTTGGTTTTACAGAAAGAAAAAGGCTGAAGAAAGCAGAAATAAAAGAGAAAGCAAACTAGGACATTTCAAAGTTTTGTTCCTTGTCAGGATGGACAGTGGGAAAAAGATCAGTTAACATCAGGTTACTTCAAGTATTTCTGTGTAAGGATAGCCTAGGGAACTTCATTATCGTGCCAATTAAAACTGGCCTTTGGGAACTGTGACTGCTCTAATTCTGATTTCTTTTGTAGGCGCCTCGTAATTTCAGCTCGGTGTTGGGCAATTTTAGTGTGAGTGCCTCCGTTTTCATTTTCAGCCTGGTCAATGGCAGCAGCTTAGTTCAAAGCCATCATCTCCTGTAATTCATATTTAACAATAGCTACACCTGAAAGATTGCACTGAGGGTAATGTGAGGCACTGTCTGACTGTAACATTCATGCTGGCCTCTACACACCCTTAACAATGACACTGCAGGAATTCTTGGTATTAGGTTTAGCTGAGTGTGGGGACCTCAGCAATCTCCAACTCTGGAGAACAGAAAGCAGCAACCAAACAGGCGAGGGCTTTCAGGTGAGAAGGTGCTGACTTAGAATCCTTCAGCCACATCTCAGTACTATGGCCTTGGGTGCCACTTGCCCATTTTGAGCCTAACTTACTACAGAGTCAGACTGAGGACAGAAAGTAGTGCTTGTTGAATAAATGATAGCGCCCCCACCTGGTCTTTCACCATGCAACACAGCAAAGGGCAAATCATTTTTAGGGCTAAAACTCAACAGTCTAAACCAGTGATGGTGAACCTTTTAGAGCTCTCAAAGATACAGTGCAGTGCAGCACCAGTGACATAGATTCATGACCACTGGACTCTAAACCCTCTAATATACAAGCTTTTGCCTGTTTCTCTGCTATACAAACAACGGACCAAATTAGCTCTAATTCTAAAATTCAATTAAGTTACTAAAAAAAAAAATGACCTTTTATCTTCACCATCATAATCCAAATCTAGCCCTCGCACCTCTCCATGAGGTCTATCTTAAATGTTTACTTTTTGAGATGAAATTCATTGCTTTCTAAAACTTCCTTCTTTCTAGGAGCTCTGTCCTGAGTTTCAGAGTAAGAGAAAATGTAAAGGAGAGGGAGTGAAACACACACATCCTCCAAACAAGTAACATGACCTGGTGTTTCTTTAAGGGAGGGTACCATACATGCCATACTTTGACAATGCTTTGCACAATCCTAGTTATGAAGTCCAAAGATCTTAGAGCGGGAAGTGAGCAACTAACCACAACTAACGCTAAATAATTATCGGTTAAACCACAAAATTACTAAAAAGCCCCAGCACTTGGGAGCCTACGGTAGGATTGCCATGAGTTCGAGGCCAGCCTGGGCTATATAAGCGAGTTCAAGGCCAGCATGGACTACATAGTGAGACCCTGCCTCAAAAACAAAAACAAAAATTACTAAAAAGCTACAACCCTCTTGGGACCCACACAAATCACAATTTAAATCGAAAACTTGCCTGGAGATGTAGCTCAGTAGTGGAGTGTGTGAAAAGCTTTAAGTTGCAGCCTCTGCACCGGAAATAATGTTAAAAAGTTGTAAAAACCTTAATTATGTGTTTAGTATGCCATTCACATTTGACAGATGCCACCGAAGGCCCACACAGTTTGAGCACCCTTTCTAATGGTCACAGCCCTACCGGATACGATGTGGGTTTGGAATGAAGTATCCTAAGGTACAGTCCCGGGTTTTCTCCCTACGGGGGCCAGTTCTTCCTTCACTGCATTCTTACCCGTAAATTCTTATCCACCAGCCAACTCTGAAGTTGAAGATCTGCCACTGAGTAACTCCCATAGATGTTCAGTCGCTCTTTCTGTCCTCTGTACGTACGTACGTTACAAGGTTCTCAGGACTGTGGGTAACCGTTTGGCGGTGCCTGGGTACATGAGGACACGCACAGCGCCCCTGGATGTCACCCCAGGCTCCCGGCAGCCGGACGCCGCCAAGTGCCAGTCCTGGGAGCCGGAAGGCAGGAGCCGGCTTGGGGCGGCTTCGGGTGCCCGTCCCGGGCCTTTGCCGCCGCGCCTCCTCCTCCTCTGCGTCCCCTGCGCGCCGACCCGCAGCACACAAGATGACCTTTCCAAACTTTACCTTTAGACGCCCTAGGCTCCACTCCTCCTGTCACTTACTGAAACAGAAGGCCGCTTCGAAACCACCCGCATCCGCTAGGGGGCCTCGCCGCTCAGACCCCAGCCCGCGACCGGGCCTCCCACCCCCGAGCAGCGCGGATGGGAGGACGACCCCGACCCCGGCTCTGGCACCTACCCGGACCTGGACCCCTACCTGGCGAGGCCGGCAAGACCGCGGCACAACAGTTCAAAAATTAAAAAAAGGACGTCAAGACACGGCAGGTTCCGCTCCCGGAGCAGCTGGGCCGCGCGGCGCCGGAGCTGAAGGCTGTGCGCGTCTGAGGCGCCCGTGGCGGGTCACGAGCGGTCCTTTACCCCGCTGCCCTGACGGCAGGGGAGGGCGGAGCACGCACGCCGGAAGAGGCGGCGCGCGGCGGGGAGGGGGCGGGGGGAGGGGGCGGGCGGGAGCGCGCACGTCACACGGGTGAACCCGCCCGTCGTCCTTTCCTTGCCCGCTCCAGGCTCCACGCCCCGGCGTCCCAGACGCCTTCGCTTTGGGCTCCCGTGGCACCCACTGCACTGAGTCATCCAAAGCGGGCGCGCGGCTGGCTCAGCCGGGCCTCTACCAGTGCCCAGCGCCAGCGTGTCTCTGTCACACGCGCACACACAGCCTCACGATGCCTCCCACCCAGCACAAGCGGGCTGCGCCAGTCCCGGAGCCGGGACTCGAAGCAGCATCGCCGGGGCCAGCCAGACTTCTGTGTCCGTTCGGGGATGACAAGCTCTACTCCCTGAGGAGGACGTGGAGGAACCCAGTGGGGGTCTAGGACGGCCTGCCACGTGTTAGCACTAGCGCTCTCCTTATCCCAAGCTACAGTAATGTCTAGGCTGCTGCAGGGCAGCCGGAGAGGAACCTAGATGACATTGTCACGGTGACATTTTTAAAGTCCCTGCATATAAATAGTAAGAGCAGAACCAGGAGAGCCAGTGCCACAGGGAGATGAATACTAAGGACTGTCACCCCAAGCACCCTTCAGATGAAGAGTTGGCAGGGGCGTCTGCTTTGTCAGCGAAGCAGAGTTGCCTTGCCTTTTGCCCTTGCCTTTCCTTACAGGGTCTCACTTTGTAGTTCAGGATGGCCTGGAATTCACTAGGTAGCCCAAGCTGGCCTGGAATTACCGGCGAGCGCCGCCAAGGCTGGCAGCACAGTTTCTAGTATCTCAGCTTGGACATTCATTATAAAAAATGAGAAAACAGGTCTAACTCCAAAACTCTCTTTGTGACCATAGCAAAAACAAAACAAAACAAAACAAAAACCCAACAAACTAGACATACAACTCTGATGAAGTTTTATGGTCTTTTCTACTTTATGTCAACGACTAGAAAGAAGAAATTCTTTATTAAAATATATCATGGCTCTTGACATCAGCTATGCTTTAGTGAACTAAGAATACCTTCTTTCTAGACACTGGATGCATAGTCCAGTCTGGTCACTTTGTCCAGTGTGGCTCTCCCAGCTAACTCTGCCAGCCACTTTTCTTCTCACTGTCTACTGTTCAAGTAACCACCACTACAAAGCCTACACTGAACAAATACCTCATTCTTTAATAGTTCTGGCCCATAACAACAACAGAAATCCTGGATAACAACAGCAAAGCAGGAAACATCACAGACCCAGACAGATTTGAAGTTACGTTACAAAGCTACAGTAATAAAAACAGCATGGTACAGGTACAAAAACAGATATAGGACTCAATGGAATAGAACAGAGGAAGCAGACATGTTCAACTATTTGATCTTCAAGAAAGGGATCAAAAATATACACTGGAAGAAAGGTAGCCTCTTTAATAAATGGTGCTCGAAAAACTGGAAATTCACATGTAGAAAATTGAGTCTAGACTCATACATCTCACCATGCATTAATCTAAAATCGAAATGTTAAAGAGCTAAATGTTAAAACAGAAACACTTAATCTGCTGGAAGATAAAATAGGCACAACTCTTGAAGTCATAAGCATAGACAAGGACTTCCTCAACAGAACCCCAATGGCACAAGAAATAATACTGAGAATCAACAAATGGGATCATATGAAATGAAGAAGCTTTTGCACAAAAAGGAAACAACAAAGTGAAGAAACAATCTACAGAATGGGAAAAGGGACAGAGGACTAATATCTAGAATATATAAAGAACTAAAAAAATAAATTAGACCCCACAAATAAAGGATCCAATAAAAAAACAGGCATCTGAAATAGACACTTCTCAGAAGTAGAGATGGCAAATAAATACATGAAAAAATGTTCAACATTACTGGTCATCAGAGAAATGCAAATTAAAAAAACACTGAGATACCATTTTAATCCAGAAAGAATGGCCATCATCAAGAAATTAAATAAGAATGGCCATCATCAAGAAATTAAATAACAAATGCTGGCAAGGTTGCAGGGAGAAACGCTTCTACATTGTTGGTGGGAATATAAACCAGTACAACTGCTGTGGAAATCAGTATGGAGATTTCAAAATACTAAAAATAGAAATTCCACTTGATCCAGCTTTTCATTCTCCTTCTGGGAATCTTCCCAAAAGAGTTAAAGTCACTGTATTATAGTGACACATGCATAACCACACAATTTATAATAGCAGCACAATTTATAATAGCTAAGTATTGGAAATAGCCTATATCTCCATCAACAGATGAACGGACAAAGAAAATGTGGTACAGATATCCCTCGTTAAACAATCTACCTGTTTAATGACTGTTCAGACTTATAACCCACTTCTCTTTTTGTAGTTCTTCTGTACATCTCGTTTATATAGACTCAATGTCCTTTTGTTGTACAGTACATCTTGTTTATACAGTACTATAATTTTCACTGATTGTACTGTACAGTGCTATAGTTTTCAGTTCTGTTATATACTACAGTACTGCACGTAAGAGCTATGCAAATGAAAGCAAAGTCATCAAGTAGGAGTTCACTTTGACCATTTCTTTCTTCTGAATACTGTCATGTACATACTTTATACAGTTCCTCATTTAGTGATCAATTTATTTAATGACCTAGTTGCAGTTTAACATGGTCGTTAAACAAGGAATGTCTGTATTTATACACAACGGAATACTACTCTGCCATATAGAAGGATAAACTTCAGGCATTTGTAAGTAAATGTATACACCTCAAAACCATAATGTTAAGTTAAATAAACCAGACTCACAAGCTTAAATATCACATGGTTTCTTTTATATGAGAAACTTGAAATATAAATAAAGAACAAAATAAGGGATAGATAATGAGAAGTCGGGAGATCTTTCTCAAATGGGAAAGGGAACCAGAGATGAAGGGGGAAAGGAAATAAGGAAAAAGGATTTAAAAAAAGAATCAAAGGAAAACATGGAAATAGTTTTTTCAAATGGGAAGGGGACCAGAGTTGGAGGGAGCAGGGAAGGGTGGAAGAGGAAGAATCAAAAAGAATTGAGATGTGTTAGGTACAAACTCCCCCAACAAATGTAACCATATGTACTGTAAACATATAAAAATCATGTAAAAAATCACAATTTATTTAAAAATAAAACAGTTCTGGCCCATGTTGGCTGCTGCCTCTTTCAGGCCCACTGTAATGTGTATAGGTTTCCAGTGTGGCCCCTGAATCCTGTTTCCTTATCATTACATGTCTGACTGAGAACAACCTGAGAGAAGACAAAGACCTACCTTACTTAGCTTTGAACAACCTCAGCTGAACAGACAGCCTGGTTCCAGCACCCTGGCATTACCTACCCTCTTCATATTCTATGTACCCTCCCAAGTCAAGGTAAAGAGGAGGATGTCCCCAGCACTCAACAGTGCTTGGCCCTAAATAAATTATATGAATGAGCAAGTTCAGACTGGCCACCATGAAGTATGGTGTACTTCTGCTATGAACATAACTTGATGTCCCACTACAGCCTAGATTATAAATTCAAGAAGGTTTTTCATAAGAGGAAGGTGTTTCTAGCACAACTATTACTTGCTTTTTCAAACAAAACAAAGCTGGTAAGCCACTAACACCAGGATCTCAGGGTAGGCCCTGAGACAGAGACTTTCAGACAGTGCTCTGCTTGACTTGCAACCAGCAGCAGTTAAAGAATTATAGGGGAAATATTTACTGTGTTCACAGCCAACTTGACATTTTCTTTCTCAGATGCTGCAGTGACACAGAAACTCTAATGATATCAATAGAAGTTTGGAGGCTTTTAGAACTAGGGCCATGTCCTATCATTAACCTGAACTTCTTGCCAGAAGATAGCTAAGGATAGGAAAACATGTTACTTATCTGTCATCACATTACTAAGAGGATTTAACCCCTGGTTTTGTATGATGAATGTGCTGTGAGTTTTCTGCACAGAAGCAAAAAAATGACAGAATATTTTCCATCCTCTAAAGCCTGGGGGATGAGCAATAATACCCAAATAAAACTGAAAACATACCTGCCATTGCATTCTTTTGAAAGCTGTAATTGTCCAAGTATTAAAAGACTTAGCATTTTACCTGTGACCAACCTGACAAACAAGCAAAAGCCTTCCAGCCTATTTTGTCAATTACTTACTCCAACACTCTCAGAACTGACACATTTATAAAGTACTCAAGGTAATGCTGGATACGAGGAATCTTAAGCCCCCAAAGTGTTCCCTAACATACTTCTTTCTAGTCTGGAAAAAAAAAATCATGGTTCCAAAGTACAATCAAGCCAAGTAAAATTATGGATAACTTGGGATAAGAAGCTAAGAGATATTCAATGAGTCATTCATATCAGAGGTAAGTTAAAAAAAAAAACCCTCAAAATTATTGCTTTGTTCACTTGCCAGAAAATCTAACTCAGGGGGTATGTATGACATGCCAGGATTTGAGGAGCCGTAGGCCTGCCTACAGACTGACACAAAATGGGTACAATGCTGTGATTTAACCATGGAGAAAGACAAGCTCAAAGGACGACCCGGCAGCTCCCTTGACTGACAAGCTGAGAGAAACAGAACTGTTAATGAATGCTACAGGTCAGAGTACACGTAGGCAACTTGGCCCCTGTCCAGCCTAGGCTTCCACATTGTTTGTGCACAGCTTATGGTGAAGCAATGTATTTGCCAATAATGAAAACAAAGCCAAAAAACCCTGGACAAAAATTTTAGAAGGGCTGAAAAGTAGCAGGAAAATTACTAAAAATGCCATGGATTTCTATCCACTATTCTCTCATGAAACAAGACTGAGCACAATTACACATATTGGTTCATCCCTTTTTAGTCATAGTTTGCACTCTGCAAGTCAGCTGGTCTACGAAAGAGGCATCAAATTCCCCTCTGGGTAACAGCAGTACTGCTGTGAAAGGTGCTCCTGGCACCAGTCACATGTCCTAGGTGTGCCCCAAGTGGTG